TTCGCGGTTTGTTGATGAGCTATTATCTTCATTCGGGTTTAAAGGCCGTCGTCGGTTGGAATTACTTCCTAACGTTTCGCTAGCACGAGTGGCGAGCTTCTTCAGAGGTCCTTCCATCTCCGATGTTGGACGTAGACTACGTGCTAGCGAAACGTTAGGAAGTAATTCCAACCGACGACGGCCTTTAAACCCGAATCAAGATAATAGCTTAAATTTTATATTATGTCAAATTCAAAATTAAGCTAAAATTATTACAATCTTCAAAACATAATTGTTTATTTTAATTTATTTATTAAAGTGATAAACGTCTTTTGGATTTTTTTTTTTCCCGAAATGCAGTATTTTAAACAATTGGCAATTTCTCTGTTGACGTAAGTTTCAGGGAAAATTTTATTTAAAAGAAATGGTTACGAACCATTATTATTATATGCTTTTTAATTTTTGTTATATGTAAGTATTTGTTTTAAATGCAGCGCCAAATTTTGAAATAAGCACTTTTTGTCCCAAAAACTTAACTAATGTAAAATCGATAATTATTTTAAAATTTTAAGATCTCGAAAAATCAAGCATTTGACCTAACATTATTTGTTCGTTCCTAAGCCTAATGAAAGTAAATATTATAATTATGATTATTTTGGAATCCTAAAAAACCGATAAATGAGCCCCTCTTCTCCGAATATAATAAGAAACTCGTCGGTGTATTAAATAAAAATGAAAAAAAGGGACAAAAAATGACTCCTCCCCACCCTAATTTCGTGAAAGTACCACACGGTCGTCGCATGCACGTACACGCTTATATGTATAACAAATAAAAGAGAGAAACGCAAATATCAGCCGCATTTACGTTAGCAGTTTATACTAAGGTGTACGGGGTTGGTAATCATATGGATTGGGGTAGCGAAATCGTGGGAAATAGTTGGGAAGTCGACTCTCATACGCTTAAGCCATGCTCAGGCCACCGTTGCACACACGCCACTTGCTTCCAATGACACCTACCAAGAAGGGGATGAATAGTTTTCGATATTATACGTAAAAAGGATTTTTACGCACCACTACGATTCGTCCTTCGGGTGGTCGGATGCATATAATTTTTCGAGGTGTCCCAGCTTTTAGTGTACAGCCTCTAACTACTCACTCTTTACACTTATTTAAAAAAAAATACAAAATACCGTGATTTTTGCGTACTCAACATTAAAGACACTTAGTTACCTTATAGTGTAATAAATTCCACCCGAAGCAGTTTTTTACTTACCTTTTTATGTTCATAAATATACAGTTGGAAGCTGTACACTAAAATCCTAAAATCTGACTGCTATTAAGAAATATCACATTCAGAATCGAAACAAATATGCAGGCCTGCATTTTAATTATTCTAAATTAATGATTAGATATTAAACCCGTTAATGTCGTAGAAAGCGTCATAATTTACACATTTGATTCCAGGTAGTATCCACAGTATTTTAAGTAAACAATAATTGAGGAATTTGGGTAACCCAACTGTCCTTGGTACGCGAATAACGTCACAAGATAGATGTAAATGTTATTAAATAGTGGGTCGTGTTTTCAAACGCCAATGCTTTTGTCCCGCTAGCGGTATCGATCGATATTTTTATTAATGTGCTATAAATTAATTGGAAATTAATGATAAATGCCGCGTAGATACTTGGTTCAATTGATGTAATGGTTCCTTGATTTGTGTACCATCGTCAGTTTACGTTTTGGTTTAAATAATTCGCGTAGTCATAAAGAAATGTTTATAAAGTCGATATGATTACCTGTGAAAATTTTTCAAAATTGCACTATCTAAAAATAAAGGATCATTAAGAAATTTTGTTGTATGTATAAATTAATTTTATGAGGTCCCACCACCCCCTCTTATTTATTATTCTTCACAAGTAAATATTACATATTCCACATTGCTCACACAAAAACTCTAAAGTGTATTTTGAACTGATGGAAAATATTGTATTTAGTTAGCTTCAACAGCCAGAAAGAAGCTGCATCAAGGCCCATTATTTTTTTGAATAGCTTTATATAACTATAATTTTATAATTTGTAATAATAAACATTATTATTATCATTATTGTTATTATTATTATTATTATTATTATTTAAGACCTGTTCTATTTGATGTATTTATGCTCTATTTCCTAATACGAGAGAGTTATAAATCATTATTGAACTATAAAGCTTAGCCGTATCCCATAGTATCGTATACTTCGACCAGAAATATAATGCTTTTCAACCACATGCCGAGCAGACCCTTACCCGTAACAATTCCAGGGCCATCCTAGGAGTTTATCTACCTACACTAACAAGCGAGATATCAGTGCAATTCTTGAAACATGTACATAAAAAATTCGTACAAAATAACAATCTGTTACATTCTATTTCATTACATTTCTACATAGTATCATTATTAATATGCAGAATATTAAATGTAATAATAAGTATCAGTCACTTAAAAAATGGTCACTATTGCTACTGTCGTCACCTAGTTCAATGATCAACTCCACCATTAATCATTCTCGATAAATATTTTCTTCTTTTATTCTGTTCATAGATATAAGAAAGTGACCAATTGCTTTTGAATTGAATTATCCAAGGGTGGTCATTAACATACAATGCAACAGGATTATTACCCAAAGTTTCGGAATTTAAATTCAGGTAAAATTGTGGTCCGTAATAGAAAATAATTTTATACCTACCTGTGTTTAATATTCTTTGGTTTGGTGTACTACTTAGTTTAAGTTTATTAGTAACCATTCTTATTTCGTGTGTAATACAGCATGTGTTGAATCGTGTGCGAATTATGTAAAATATGTGCTAGTCTAGTGTATCTCAGGAGATGCTCCCTCCCAAATGTAGAAAACACTATTCTATTGAGACTAAGGAAGTTATAAACAATGCTTATTTGACTCTCATTGAACGTGGTGTCAGCAAGCAAGCATCTTTAGAAGAAACGGTCACATTGACGGAAATTCCAACATCAACTGTATGGAAAATAGTGAATAATCCCATTTCAGGGGTGCTGACATTTTCTCGAGTGTAGATCAAGATATAATACTGCGTAAAATTTACCAGTTATAAGGGTAGCAAAGCGTGCCTACATTAGATATCTTAATTAGGAAGCATGAAAAAGATGAAACCGGTGTTAAATGTGGCAGAACTACCTTATGAAAGTGCATTCAACACGTGGGTTTTAGATTTAAGAGATTCACAAAGGGAGTATCTAGAAAAAATTAGGATTTACAGAGAACAACAAATGCCAATTATTTCCTTGGATGAAACCTGGTTCGACACTTATGATACCCCGGAAAAGAGTTGGGTTGACTCAATTGATAAGTGTGAGCGTGCCATTAAAAAGAGGTAAAAGAATAACTATTTTGCATGCTGGCTCTAAAGATGGTTGCATCAAAACCTAATTAAATATAAAAAGGTCCATTTACGTTTCAAATAAAAATTTCAAGTTTTTATCTACTTAGATTAAACATCTGTTGGGGTGGGTTTTGCCACGGTCCTGCGAAAGTCTGCGGTTAAGGTACTGTAAATTACTTAAAACGTCAAATCAATAAGTGCACTATATTTTTGATCGTATTATACCTATGTTGATTGTCAAGTAGTTAGTGTACAAAATTTGAATCTCACTTACTTTCAGATAGCTGTGGCAAATCTCGTTCTTCAAAATAAGTTCTGACTACTCGAACCATGACTAAAATTTACAAATGAAGTTGTATTATAAATAGCAGGTTATTTGTAAATATATTTGCCAAGCATAATTGTGTGTTCTAAAAATAAAATTATACATATTAGGGCTTATCCACATGAAACTCAAGTGCATTTCCAGCCAAGCGTGGCATACAGTTAATTCAGTTAAATTAATAATTAACCGCCTGTGGAAAAATAAATTTTACGAGTGATAATTTTAAATTTCTTATTAAATATATAAAATACGAAATATATTGGGGCTGATATTAAATATTTTCAACTTGATTAGAGATTATGTTATAAAAACACAACGAGATGATGAATTAATTTTAATTGGATACTTTACGGTCTAACATTTCAAAAATAATCGTCTTTATAATTCGATTCCATTGTTTCACTTATTTCCCAAACCAAACTCGACAGGGAGTTAACTACGGTTGACCAATTTTTTTCCATTTTAATGGTCGAGTAGATAACAACAAACATCCATCAGCTTAAATACGCAACTAATGGACTTCCTGTAATTCCCGCACACCACGTGGCTGCGACACGTGTTCTCCTTACATATTTTACAAAATAACGGACGCTTTGCTACATTTTACGAATAATAATACGAAAACCTAAAAATACAATATCCATTAATACGCCGGACATTGGTCATCCTCTTATTGTGAATATTTCACGTGTGATAGGTTACAGGGTGTGAAAAACAGGTTTTGGCTGCGCAAAAAAGAAAGGGGTTGGCCTGTTACGTATTCGCCAATCTTTTCAATGTATTGTTCGAATTCGCCTAGGTCATTTTTTATACTCTGCTAAATATTTAACAAAGCGACATTCCTTAATATACGAATGAAAGGGCAAAGCACAATAACCGTTAGAGTTCCAAGCAGCTGGGATATTAAACCAGGTTTTTCACCCAAAATAGTGATCCGAATACAAAAAAATATTCTAGAGAGAGTTCTAGAACGCACACGCTTTTGGCGATATAACACCTCAAGAAACAAACAATATTCAATCAAGTTTTATTCTTCAAGACCTTTTGTTCATTAAAAGTCTAATTCCACCTTAAAAGCTAGGGTTGCTATATTTTTGACACGCAATTTTTTTAGAGATGTAACAGTTGCAATTCAAAATAATATATTGAAGCGACTTTAAGTCGATTGTCTCGCGATCAAAACAAAGCAAAGTTTTTTTTTAAATATATATTTTTGGTATGCTTATCTCCAAATCACAATAAATTTCACGTGGTCTGAGATCAATATAAACTCTTCACAAAAATATGGTACCTCCGGTATACTATTTCTCGCCTAATTAACTTTAATACAATCATATAAATAAATTCTTATGACTATTAGGTACAAAATGACTAAAGCCTCTGTCGTGCATGTTCATCACTCGGAAATGTAAAAAGATAAATACACACGCGTCTCCGTCGTTACTATACAGCACAGCCCGAAACTGTTTACGATACAGTAAAGACTCCCTAATCCGACCCAAACAAACCGAGACTGATTTTCGTTAGACTATTTTATGATAATTTTTGTCTTGGTTTGTGTTTTCCAGTACTACTACTGAAAAAACATGTGTTTGTTGACATAGAGGAAGTTTACTAGATCCAATTAAAGAGACTATACTGTATTATGAGAATAGTTATGAAAATCAGTTACGGCGGCGGGTATTTCTGTATGTTGTTTCGCGTCATTATTTTTTATTTAAGGCAATCCATAAGGCAACTTGCACTAGAGGTAGGGGCACTTTTCCGCGACATGATTTATTTACACTTCACTGTCAATACGCTACTTCTGCGCCCCAAGGTCGATAGGGTTTCATACCCTGAGACGTAGGAACGCTCTGGCTATAATTTTGGTGGTGACTCGTAGAAGGTATCCCGAACGCATTAACGGGTGGAGGGTATTGATGGTGGGGACTATACGTTAACGCCGATGACGTGGTGGTGGTGAGGGGAGTTAAAATGGAAGTCGCCGGTGCGAGTCGACTCGCATCGCTCGATGGTACAGGCGCAGTGCTTTGCGCGCAAGACGTCGATATGTCGTAATGACCCAAATCGTGATGCATGGTTTGATGGTGAATCGGTGGCGGTAATGGTGGTTGGTGGGTGTTTAACGCGGAATGATTTCCGACCGGCGGCGACAATGGGTTTAAAGGAGTTGGGTAGGGAGGTTGTGAGGTTCCGTAACTCCACGGCGCGGTAGCGGCCTGTTTTAAAGCTAATTCTTTTTGTGCTGCGCAGCATTGAAGGTGTGACGTTAGTCGCAGACGCATGGGATTCTGCGCGTCCATACCTTCGATTCGTTCCAAATACCTGCTGACTTCCGCGAGACATTCTCTGAAGCCCATTCCGTGGTAATCGACCGCGTATTTGTGCGGATCGAAGGCCAACGAATCCAAACCTGAAACAAAATATCCCGATTGCAATACCGGACGTTTTTAAGGTTTTCATTTTTATTTTCGAAATGTACACCTTTCTAATATATACGCGGAGTGGGCTTCGGTAATAGTTCGTATTGCAGTCGTTTCAAAAAATGTCTCACTAAATCAGCCAAGAGAGAATGCTGTAAGTTATAAAAAATATATTACATATAATTAATTTGAATGATAAAACATATAAACAATGCAAATGTGGGCATTAAAATCAGAAAATTATATCGAGAGCAACCATAAAATTGCCTTTCAAACCGAACCAATATTTATTAAAATCATAAAATTATTTTGAAGATTTATGTCAAATAAACACGTTGAAACGAATTTTTTAACCAAATTTGATTTGTTTTTCTTACTTCAAGGACATATTTATCGATGTACTTATAAATAAATTTCTAAAAAATGCTTTGCTTCTACCAGGTGACCATTTCAACAAAAATTTATTTTTCTCTATTGACTAGTTCATTTTATTAAATATCAGGTTTTTGGCGTTTGCTTTTTTCTTTTTTTTTTTGTTCAAAAACAAATTACAATTACGAATGCGTTAGCTTTCAGTTTTATTTTGGTTATTATTTGCTACATTGTACTGTTTAAAATGCCAATAAAAACTCAAAAATAAATTCAGGCGTTTTTTGATATATTTGCAGGTTTATTCGTTTTTGAAAAAAGGAATTGACATTTATTAAGTTTAAATGGACCTTTTTTAAAACTTCTACTAAACTTAAACTCTCCAATTAGCGTGATATATTTATTTATTACTCTGCAAAAATTAGCATTTTCATTGAAATGAAACGAAACAAATGAAAACAATTGCTATTTTTCAAAAAATTTCCTGCCCTTTGTTCTGTCAGTTATAAACAGTACAATCCGATTGAAAATTGTTTGTAATAGTTTGCAGTTTCATTATGGTTTTTTTTTAAGAAAACAAATTGTTTACTAAGATTTTCACATATATATATTTATTCGTTTACTAAAAACTATGCAATTCTTTATGAGAATATAACCATAGTTTCAATCAAGATTTTCAAATTTTACATTTTGATAGTAAAGGGCACAAATTAACCTTTGGAAATTAACAAATTAAAAAATTCAAATATTCGTTTCAATGGTAAATTAGATCTTAATAATCCTGCGTTGTAAAAGTGATTTTATGTCTCTATAGATGTGAAAGTTTTAGTATTTTTTTTTCTAAAAAAAACAATATGGATTTTACCTTTCAACAAGTATCGGCTGAAAACATTCAAATTGTAGGTACTAAGTACCCTGCACACCAATTTTATAAATAAGTGGATTGTTGTCCTACTAAGTTCCTAAGTTCGGAAAGAGTTAAAATTAGTGAAAGAAAATAACATCCACATCCACACAAAAAATTATTGGGAAAAAAATAATGTAAAGATTGCTCGAATTTGTTTTTTCTCTGTACTAAAGATTTTAGTAATCTAAAATACTAAAATAGTTTTTTAAATTGTCATCCTGTCAACATTTACAGAAAAGTATAGGACGGTAAACATTTTTTTTAAGAAATAATAATTTTTGTTTCTCAAACGTCTACATATAAACAGAAAAAAAATTTGAGGAAGCAAATTGATCGGAATCTATTACCAAAACCAACCCGACTCCCTAATGTGGGGTGACAGAGGACCGTAATATAAACATTAGTGTATAAACCTGTTGCCCCGAATTATCTGCGATAACTCAGCGGTTCACAAAACGTTCCCACGAGGCTGGCGAATAGTGTAACGCAGCTGGTCTGCCATATCAACCACCTATTCCCACGCCACTTCTTTTTAACCCTTTTTCATTCACTTTTCACCTGCTATTACTATGCATTTTAATACTGCCCACATAATTATTTAGTTCCTCACGATTATTTATTTGCTACATTTAAACGTTATTGAAAAACTTCGATATAACAACGTGCTAAGATGAACGTCTTACGCTGCTATAACAACGTTTAGCAATAAACTATTTTTGCTTTATAAAATATCAAAATTGCAAAAAAAATACATTTAAAAATCTAAAATACGTCTAAAAATATGTGTTTGAAGATAACATTTGGAGAAAACAGTTAAAAGGGTCTTAGAAAGGTCCCCGAAAAGTGGAACCACCAGTGGGCGTAGTAATGACCTTTTTCGAATTGTTATTCCACATATCGTTGCAATTTTCATTTTTTATAAAAATAGCCGCACACTTTAAGTTTGTGCTTACCTTTTGCGTGCAGCATTTTCAAATGATCGACGGTCATTTGAAGAATTTCAGCTTTTTCTAATTTTGCGGAACCTTGTTTCTCAAATGCGCTTGGTACCAATCGTTTCAATTCAGATAATGACATATTGATACGATCCCGTCGTTTCTTTTCGATTACTCCCCGTCGTTTTTTTCTCGATAACATTTGGCAACTATCAGCATCACCGGGTGAAGTACATCTGCAAAAAGAAACTCCTAAATTCAGCCCCCAAATGTTATGATATGAAAATTATATGTACCTGTATCTCATGTAAACGATTTTATTAATTCTTTATTTTGAATTTTTATATTTGTATTCATTAATATAATTCATCACACAAAATGGAGGAGCAGTGAATGTTGCGAAGTTAATTATTTTCATTAATTAATTTTAAAAGAAGGCTATTTTTAAATGTGTTTTGAACTCATCGTTACTCTGCTAGCTTTTTTACATTTAAATGTTGTTAATTTATATTAACTCATTTGTAAAAAATATCGTACAAATATTGATTTTAAAAAATGATTAATATGGGGTTACTCATAAGTTGGCGTTATCATTTGGGCAGATGGCTTCGTTGATTGAACCATATCCATATGCAGTCTAGTTTTGTTTATCAATTAAAAAGTTTTTTTTAGATATTTTAGTAGCCTCAAGTGATGAATTTATGTAAAATAATTTTGAAAATATCGCTCGAAAACTTCTGAACCTTTCCAAGTAGGGTGTCAACTGATAAGGTGAAATTAGATCTGACATCACCTGTAATTTACATATAAAGCTCCTTAAACCTTGCCTCTCATTACTACGTAATAAATATATAATTGCTTCTAAGCAGCAAGTAGAAAACTCTCGCGAGTTTTTAATACATACAAATTTACAATTTTTTAATACTTAATGGTTTGTTATAATTTAAAATTGATTTTAAAACATTATACGTCATAAATTTTTATTTAATTTATTTTAAAAAATTAATGGAAGATTTTAATTTATTAAAGGCAGTTTTCAACTTTTTTTTTAAATTCTGCGGTGTAAATTGTTACACCGGGCAAAGCTTAACTGTAACTGTAAAATTTGCTTTTAAACTAATTAGTAATTATTTCGGAAGTAAATGTTATATAATAATTCAACTCAGGTGGAAACCAAGAATAATATTTTTATAATTTTGTAGGATTTGTCCCGTTCGTAACAATGGAAAATATAACATTACTTAATTAAAATCTCTTGCATTCTATTGTTTGTCTAGTTGTGATTTGTTTATCTGCTGCACCTGCATAGGGAGTTATGATTGTCAAAACACCTTACCAAAAATATTAAATATGGAAAATTTAATTAACAAATCCTATTTTAATTTTCTTTTATTTTTTTTTACCAAAACAATTTTCAAACTCTTTCAAATAAGCTCACATTTATTGTATTATTATATTGTAATTTTTAAAATAGCAGAATCATATATAGTTTTTATTTTTATTTTTCTTAAGCTGGCGAGAAATATTCAAAACTAAAACGCCGACGTGGTACTTACTGCTCCTTGGAAGATTCCTCCGAGTATGCGTCATCACAATCACTTTCAGAAAGAGGTCTTTTGATACCCCTAGTGGTCACCGGTTGCCACGAAGAAGCGGCATTCGCGCCGGAGTAACCCCAGTGCAAGGGTGTATTTTGAGACAACGAATGGTCCATGGTAAGCAAGGGGTCACTATCACCGCGAGCGCAAAAACCAAAACGCCCACGCCGCGAAGACACTGGTCGGAAGTCAGTCGCGTGTCAAAACGGCTGTCAGTTGATGCGAGCGTGTGTTCTAACGTCGCTTGTAGTGTTGAAAGTGTCTTACCCTGTTGATCAGACGCCGGTCCTAGCGCCGTTCGGTCACGTTTTTACCCCCACCACGTGCATCCCCACTCGGTAGCCGTCGTCCACGCGACCACTATACTACAGGAAGCAACCCTACAGAAATCCCCGACTTGCGGAACTTGCGGGGTTGCCGTATTTCCGTTCGCGGAGTTTAGTTTAGCTACTTAGTCACACGTTTCTTAATAAAAAAAATTTGCTTCATCGTTAGCAGATTAATTTAGTAGGACATACATGATAATAACTTATTGGAAATTTTGCAAAATCTACCCGCTCATTTCTTCTATCATACAGCGTGTTTATTAAAAAGGTTCCCATAAACGAGGTCCGGTTTTCAAGACATAGAGTGTTCAAGTTTTTTTTTTTAATAAAGTTTCTTAAAGTATTTCGAATATCTACAATTCTCAATATCCATATCCAAACGTTCAATCAGTTCCTCCACGCATTGGGTTCTGTCAACGACTTTTGCGCAAAATGGTTGAAATCCCCCAACTACTGATGCTGATTCTGTTTACCGATGAAGTGAGTTTCAAGAAAATTTTATAATAACCATTTGTGATAAAAATCCACATGACGAATAAAATAGTTTTTATTTTTTATCTCGTGGACGAAGCAAGATGTGAGAAACATTCAAGAGACGAAAGCATAGTTTTAGTCTCCCTATCTCAGAGAAGTATCTAAATTAAATTAAAGTCAGTGGCGTACATTTTTATCAATACATTTGCCCACCCCTGACACCTCCATTTAATTAATTAATCACTAGAAACAACGCTGGCAATTTTCAAACAACTCCGTGAGAAGATTTGAATTAATTTTAAAAAAATGTACCTTGGAAACAATGCATTTTCGGACCTACATTTATGGTAACTTGTTTCATAAAATAATCTGAGGATCACCCCCCTTAAATATTGCTCTTTTTTCAAAACCCTGTATACAATTGGTCGAACTAATTACACCACACTGTTTTGTGTAGGGCCTTTGTGTCACATAAAAAACACGATAGGACCTAATGTATTTCTAATGACGGTTTCTTCCTGATTTCTTTTCTCTTTTAATATTTAGTTTTATTCTTGAAAATATGACAGTTAGAACTCAAAACTTTGTAAACTATGAAATTTGGTTTTGATTTAGTCAGTAATATTCTCCAGATCCACATGGTCATCATAACTGCAAAAAGAGTAGTTTTCACTGCTTAGTATTAATTAATTAATTAATTAATTAGCATTTAATGTAATTTAATTTAAATTCGAAATAAATAACTTTTAGTAAGCGGTTAAAGGGTTAAACAAATATATAAATAATTGAAAAATCCAGAAAAAATATTTAGACTACCCATAATTCAAAAGCAAAAATCAATCCGTTGCAATTTTTTGCAATTAATTAATAAATAATAAGATGCAATTTTGTAGAATGTTAAAAATTAAAATGTTTACGAATATTCCTTTTTGCACAAGCTGGCATCAAGGCGGGGATTGGCGCGTGTGTATCCCACTAACCAAATTTTCCTGTGAGATTCTATCCTGAGCGCTAATTCGTTGACGATTGGGGTGAAACGTGATTAAACGGCCAAGTAATATTGGTTTTGTTTTATTAGTGACCATAAATCTGATTATCTCCGATTGACACCTAAGCTTTGCGCTTTTAAGGTTATACTCGACTGGATCAGGCAATAAAATAAAATTTTAAAGAATTGAAAAACAAAACTTTTAAAATAGCGCAACTATTTATTAATTACATTAATTAACGGTACGGACTAATTACGGCAATTAAATGTTGACTTTTTTTTTCGAAACTATATATAATTAATTAATAATATTGTTAATAGAAATTGTCTTAAAGAAAAATTTTAAGTTTTGATTTCAAAATAAATAAATATTTTTAAAAGAGTTGTTTAAAAGTTCCACTTTATCAAAATTTTCACATTAAATAAAATACAAAATAAAAGACACTGAAATTATTTTTACAAGAGACAATTCCTATAATTAGTGAATCAAAAAGTTAGTTTTGCAATATTTTAAACGGTTTATTGCTATTTAAACATGTTGTATCTATTGTCAGATAATAAAATTCCCTTTCATCTACCCGTGTTCAAGCACCTACACGATAAATACCGTTCACCAAAAAAAAGCAGATTTACCGTAACCCAAAATAAAATTATAGCAATGGGATTCTTCGCCCTTAATGTTGAGAGATGCGTAATAAAAACACGGAAGGTCTTCCTTTATGGACCTAACGGTGCCGCTGCTGCATCGGTGCCGCTGCTGCATCGGATTTTTTGTATTGCTGTTAGATTTTACTGTTATAGCCATCACCTGTTATAGCCAGTCCTGGCATCAAATACTCTTAATATGAATAACTAATTAATTAATTTAACAGCTAATATTTATCAATATTGAATGAAATTGTACAGTGTTTAAGGAAAGTAGGGACTTACTTAGACCCAATTAAATTAAAATTATTAATTCCAGTGGGGCTCCGGAAGACAAACTTAACTTTTTGACTAAAAAACTTGTTTCTCATTTACTTAAAAAAAGTGTCATTTTACATAGAAGTTTCCTGAACTTAAGTTCTTAAACTTAGTTTTCTGGATATAAACTAAGTTTGACTACTTGTATTTAAAAAAATCCGAACGTAACTTATTTATTTAGCTTAACTTTAGAGATACCTGGTATAATATGGTTAATCTGATTATTTAATAAAATCGGAAACTTTTGTCCAGTGCACTTTATTACTTCCCTACGTCCTTGCAATCAGGACTTGCTCCTATCAGGACCGTAACTAAAAAAATTACAAGGAAAAGTGCTGATATTTTGTGTGTCAAAAGTAACATTGTAATTAAATGCCAATTATTTTAAAGATAACGTTTAGAATATTATATTAATATAATAAAATTATATTTTATTAAGGGTTACAACTAGACATAAAAAACGACAATGACGCAAGAAATATTAGAACTCACGAAACAGGAAGTGAGTAAAAGAGTTTGCTGGAATGCATAATATACTAGTAGATAGCATGGAAAAACCAATTATTGATAAACAAGAAACCCTCGAAGTATAGAAAAGCTACGTGAAAAGATTATTTGGGACCACAGCCCAAATGTTCAGAATAACAATAGTTCAGACGGATGCCCAAAGATCTTAAAATATGCCATAAACACAGCTAAAACCTGGAAAACAAGAACATCCCAACGCAGATCTTGCAAATGCTTTATGATCACCACATCAGCGTGCTGGTCCAGTTTTTTAACGATATTTACATCACTGGTGAAGAACCAGAAGAACGCCTAAAGTGGGGTTTTATACCATTACCTGTATAGGCCGATTAGTCTGATGAGCCACATCAAAAATTTTCCTTCGTATAATTCAAAGAAGATAAGAAGCTGGTTCGAAAGGGGTCTGGATGAAATGCATTTTTTGTCTTAAATACTCATCCAGCAATATGTGAATTTCAGAGTCTATGAAAACGCGTTTGGCAGGGTTCAGTATGGAACATTCTTGACAATCGATGATAGAGATATGAGAATCATGGAGAACTTGTATTGGAGGCAGAAGTTGTTCGTATCGATGTAAGAATAACCGACGCACGATATCAGATATGCCGATGACACAGTCATCTTGTGTGATAGTATTTAGGGCCTCCAAGAGTTGTTGGATTGTGTAAACACGGTTGGTGGAGAAAGAGGACTAAAACTGAATATCGGTAACACAAAATTTACAATATTTAGTCGACAACCACACGCCGGTCCTTCTCTATAAATAGAACGACAAAACATTGAAATAGTTACCCTTGGATGCTACATCACAGAACAACTAGACCCAGATAAGGAGATAAAGTGTAGAATAGAATCACCTGGTACAGCTTTTCTAAAAATGAGACCATTTTTCTCTAATGAAAACTTAAACCTAAAATTGCAGCAAAGAATGATCGAGTTTTATATTGTTCTATATTTTTATAAGGGGCTCAAACGTTAACCTTAAATGCCTCTACAATCAATTTACTTGAAGCGTTGGAAATGTAGCTACATAGAAGAATGCCCCGAATACCATAAACAGCTAGGGAAATCAACGAAGCAGTATTAAATAGAGTCAATGCAATTCGTGAGCTGGTCGAAACGTTCATGGTAAGAAAAATGAAAATATCATATCTGAGAGATGTTCTTAGAGGAGAAAGATCCAGATTTCTCCAGCTTATAATGAAAGGGAAAATTAAGGGACGAAGAAGAATGGGAAGGAAACAGATGTCATGGCTCAAAAATATTAGGGACTGGACAGGAATACGTAGTGCGGAACAACTGTGAACGGCTCACCATTGTAATTGTTAACGTTAAGGGGACCTAATATTACACCGAAAGAAGAAGAAGATTAAGGGTAGTCCTTTCTTTAATGATTCAAGACAATGCTCTGAGTATACTTAGCGTAAATTGAATATAAAAATAACATCCACTAGAAGTTGGTAGCTCGGAAAGATTTGTTAAAATTTGATTAATGATTTTTTTTGTATTTTTGGATTGGCGTTATAAATCGTAAAAATTAGAGACTTGGTTCTCGACTTGCTAAACAATTTTTGATAATGAATTTTTTTTTATCCTACGCAAATATTTATTGCCGTGCCGAAACATCAAAATAGGATCATTAATATTTACGATATAAATATTTACTTTCGAGTTTATCCGATAAATAAAAAATAAGTCTAGTATCGAACTATAATCCAGTCCTGTTGCTCGTCCTGATAGGTCCGTTTATCCTGGGCGCCTTTGACTTGTTTCGAAAGCGATTAGCATTTCGGGGTGGATCGACTATATAGTGCGACACCGGAATGAGGGGATTCGATAAAATGGACGACACTGCAAAGGGTACGAAACGTGGGAAACAAGAAACTTCGGCCGTCACACCGCCGACACGCGCCATATAGAAAACGGTATTGTGTTTCTTTCGGCTTTGCTTTCGGTAACGAAATGGACAAAGATTTTTGGGATTGGTATCGTGTTTGGAAAATAATACTGACACACTTCAACCATTTCACCCCGAAAAGTTTTATTAAAAAAATTATTCGGTGCCGCGTTAAAATTATCTAACCAAAATCTTTTACCTTACTCGTAGACAATTTAATGAAAACACTTCGACTTTTAAATGGGCTCTACTCTGTTAATTAGTATGTTAGTCTTTGGTTTCTACGAGGGTTTTTGTTGTGTTCGAATATTAATATAATAATAACAATAATAATAACATAAAAAACATAATATAAAAAAGAACAAAAATTAAATTCATTTTAAAATACGTGGTATCTAAAAAATTGGATTTCGATATTTTCAAAATTCACAGAGTTACTTCAGTGGTGCGTAAAATAAACGAATTATCATTTTGTTAAATTTAAACTAAATATTAGTTAACAGAAAAAAATATATATAGTCGATTATGGTTACACTTGAATGTGTAGTGTTTAAACAAAGTAAGGGGTTAATTTAGTCCCAATTAAGACAAATTTAACTTTTTTGACAAAAGAATTGTGCTCCATTTACTTTTCCTTATATATATATATATATATATATATATATATATATATATATATATATATATATATATATATATATATATATATATATATATATATATATATATATATATATATATATATATATATATATATATATATATATATATATGTATATATATAATATATTTTAAATTATCAAACAACTAACATTAGTATGGTTAATTTAATTATTTAATAAAATCGAAAACTTGCGGGGACTGCAACTAACAAAAATAACAAGGAAAAGTGCTAATATTTTGTAAAGTAAGGTCGTAATTAAATGGCAATTATTTTTTAAGAAGACGCAGTTTAGATAATTAAATTAATACAATTAAAATATGCTTATAAAATTACCTTTTATTAAGGGTAAATAACGATAAGAGCCACAAAACCCACCGTTGCCAGCTCTGTTGGCAGAAATTATTTGTTAAAATTTTATCGTGATGGCCTTTAAAAATTTAAATAGTGGTTATAGGAAATATTTATTTAGATTCAATTGCTTTGGAGAGGAGTGTTTCCCAGGGCAGTATTCTGGATGTCATCAATACGCCGATGATACTCAGTTATATTTATCTTTTGTTGCTAGTGAAGCTGAAGATGATTTAAAAATAATTTCAGAGGTGTCTGCGGCCCGTGGCATGTTATTAAATACCACCAAAATGCAGATATTATAATTTGGAAATAAAAGTGAAAAAAAAAGTGCCTCTCTGATTCGGGTTGGCTCAATCTGGAGGACCGATATAAAGTTCACTTGGCACTTGCATCCATCACTATGCAGAAGAAATGATATACAGTTAAATATTTAATGAAATGCCTATGCTATAATATCCCTCCCGACAATATTCTTCTTCTTCTTATGTTTATCATGTATATACGGCTGTATAGTTTTGTTATAATAATCGCCATAATGTTATAAAATAATAGTATGATATTGTATGGGTTTAAATATTATAATTCGCTCGTATTTCCTTTTATTTATTCTGTTTTCCGGGCTCTTGTGGCTACATGGAAGAGCGCAATTTGCGAATGTCGCCACTTTTGTATTACAACTTATAATATCTTGATTATTAATAAAGAATAAAGACAGTTTATATTTATTCAAAATCAAAATAAAAAAATAGACAGTACCATACCATTCCGCCGATTCTAAAAAAACTGTCTAATGCTCGTAACTGCTCGCATATAACCCCAATTACCGAATAAAAAAATTGAATATTTGCAAAATACAACATTTTATTCGCTTATAAGGCATGTCGTGTCTGGAATCTCTTTTTAAATGATCCATCTCTTTAAATGCCTGAACGTACGTCGGGATCACCCTGTATTAAGTGTGCTTTTGTACATATACCATAACATATGATCAAAGTGCGAGTTTTATACAATACGGAAAAGGTGAAAGAAAATCAATATTACTGACTGGGTAACGCAAGTGGTATACCTAAAACAGTTAAAATAGTTCTTATACATACGTTATTTGTGATGTCAAGTGTTAACTTTATAATAAATTATATTAAGTTTAATTAAAGGACTTTCCACATAGTAACATTTTAGAGGCATACGTAATATTTTGATGTTCATCTATTTTTGTGAGCACTTTGGTGAGATGATTTCGATTTGAGTTTCCTTATTCTCTAACTAATCCAAAATGCATCTATTATCCGAAACAGAACCGGAATCTCCAAAAACTCGTGTTCGAACTACCAACAACCATGTTTTTTATTTTAGAATTTTCGCTTTATGTTTGTTCGGACATTATCGTACGCGTTCGTAATGCACTAGCAAGCAAGCAAACTGATTTCTATTCGCTCAGAATCATCGGAGTCATCAGGAAACTTGTCATGTATACGGTCGTCTGATACGCATGTAATTAATAGAACAGTCACCAACATGTCTGGTGACGTTCAACCCAGAAAACGGAAAGATAAGAAAAAACGTAAAGGTAAAGTTAAATTTGAATATCTTTTTCGTTTATTTTTAGCATTTTCATGTCTAGGTCACGACGATGCTATTTTTAAGCTCGATACATCGCGGCGCAAAATCTAATTCAAAAAATACCCGCATTGTTTTCAGAGGACGACCCTTTATTCGCTTCGAATGAAGACGTCAATATACATGTGCATAAGGAAGGAGGAACTGGTGGGGGAATATGTGCGAAGATTGTTTTTTTCTTACTATTTTCCGCTCTAATAGTATTAGTAGGATTGATTATTAAAGAAAATCAAGGGCTAAACGAGCGTACGTATGAGTAACACTTGACACCATCGATGTTAGAAGTCGAATTCTTTTAGTTGAAAATATTGATGCAGAATCTCATTACTCCCGTGCCTTCGAAGGCTGGTTAGAAGAGCATTCGCAAAATCATGACGAAGTCGATGATGAACAATCTCCAGAACTCGTCGAAGACATGCATAGTGATGAAGACATGGAAGATCTTTCTGAAGAACCTGAGGATGAAGCATCTGAAGGCGAAGAAGACGAAACCGTAGAAGACGACGAATCAGATCAACAAAAATACGAGGACGACACAACCGAAAACACAACGGAAGATCAAACATCGGAATCGGGGGAAGACGTTGATGATCTCGAAGAATCAGGTGTAAACGATGAAGATAAAAGTGAAGTGACCGACGTTAGTGCGGAACAGGATACTGGAAGCAAAGAAGATGCGGACAAAAATAAATCAGAAGAAACCCGACGTCAAGTAGGGCGTTTGCTTTTCGTTGCGGGAGTTATTTTAGATTCTAATTGTAGGAGGCAGAAAGCGAGACCATTACCGAAGAAATTCATGAAAGAAGGGAACAACCGGCCCCAGAAAATCCAAAAAGTGAGTGTTACGTTCGATTGGAACTTGTGCAAGGATTAATAATTACCAAAATAGCGTTCTTCAACCCAAAACCCCTTATTACATGTAAATCGGGAAATGCAATTTTACGTGTATTAAACACACTGTGTTTTGCAGTGGTTGCCAAACTGGGTGTTGGACTAGCCCTATTATTTGTGGCTTACAACGTTCTGATACGAAAACGACGATCTGGTCAGTAAATATGCATGTATATAAGTAATGTACTACATTTATTTACAAGCCTGCTTATTGTTAATTCTTATTGCAACTAACATTGCATTTCCTGATAATGTTTCTTTGTGCATTCTATAATAATTTGTAACAATATATATAGGGTGGCTCACAGTGGACCATGTAAATGAAACACGCAGTTAGGGATTTTGTTTAGTTTAAATGTACATTGTATACAAAAAGCAAAGGTGATTTTTCAAGATTTTCCTCTTTTTTTAATAAACATTAATTTTTAGCAATTTTTAAACCATATAGGTTTTAGAAAAAATGTAAACAGTTTTGGTCAGTGTCGTTTAGTTATTAGATTAAAGAAAATCTAAATTTCATAGAGTTTCTGACATTTCATTCACGTTTTTGTCGGAATTTTAGAAACACAATGAAGTGAATTTATTTGGGTGTGCTATCTCAGCATATTTTTTCATTTTTGACAGTTCTGCTTTACGATTCTCTTACATTTTGGAAAATAAAATTTAATTTCACATTACCAAGTCAGTAAAGTTAGTTTTTTTTTTCAATAAAGGTGAGAGATATAGGGAGACCTTAGCTGTTGTGAAGAATCTAAAAGTATGATTGAAATAATAATAATATAGGGCTAACTCCGCTCACGTCCATCTGTATAATTTGAAGCACATCCGTTGATTTCTTATCGAGATAAGTACTTACTTCCTGTGAGTCATCTACTATGAGCCACCCAGTATATAAGGTCACTTCAATGTAAGTCGCGTACCTCAATAACAGTCTAATGTATCTATATTTTATATATTTTACGAAGATTCTTTAGAAACGCCGAGATCAGGAACCGACGAGAAAGAGCAAACGCCATCTGATCTATCTAGAAGGAACACCATTGTTCCACCGCCAGCTCTTGAAGAGATAGAAGCTGATCTAAATCCAGAAGACGGAGGTATCTAAGTGTTCAAACAGTCCCCGATATGTTTTAAATTTAATTGAAACACAGCGGATTATTCTGAAGAAGACGAAGAACTCAGTGAACCCGAGAGTTTGCATGAGCATATTAAATCTCCTAGGCAGCAATATGAAGATCTACGCTCCACGTATGGCCGTGCCTTGACACCGGAGGGTGACTTCATCGCCGGAAGATCGGAAGAGGAAGATAACGAGGAAGAAGAAATTGTGGAATTAGAAGAATCTGATGAAGTTGAATCGCCTTACGATGACGATGATGATGAAGAGTTACTCAAAAGACTTGAAGCTAAATATGGCAAGCTTGGGCGAGGTATATCAGTACTATTAAATAAATAAGGGATTGAAGAAGAACGCTATTTTAATTTTATGTGATGACGAATGCGGTATGTGAACACATGAACACAAACGATTTAACTAAATTGTTAAAAAAATCAGCTCTTAAATTTTGGGTTGTTACGAATGTCTTATTTTTACCATGCTTATTATAATTATATTAACAGATCTAGAGGTAGATGCGAATCTCCTCTCCGATGCGGAATCGGCATCAGATAAACAATCGGATGACGATATTTATGAACATTCAAATATAACAGATAAAGAAGATTACTTAATCAGGAAGGACTTGGATGCCGCACAAGAAGCCCTTAAAAAGGTAGGATCCAAGAAAATAGCACATGACCACTTTTCTATAATATTCGTCGTTTCTTATGATTGTAGGAATAGAAAAAGTACACTTTACATTCAGGCTTAATTTTTTTTAATTTTGAGTGTGTTAGTTAATAAGACTGATTGAATGTTGTGCTTCTTTTAAAACCCTATGTTTTTGTGTTATTAATTAAAACGCCCTCAAAGGATTGTTAATTAAATTGAATTGCAGTGCATTTTCTTTTCTGACAAAAAAAATTGGTACAGTATTGACGAATAACCAGACCATTAATCAATTTTTATTAATAAATCCGCACCTCTGTTAATAAAAATTGAATAAATGAACTTTTTATGTATACGACCTTGTACTAACGTGGTTTTATTGAATTAGAACGCCGCTTATGCTAACAAATTGTTTGAAGCATTACTTAAGAAACAACCCTTCTCCCCAAGAGCGCTCTATGGTAAAGGAGCGGCTTTAGACAAGTTGGCAGATCAAATGCGTAGTAACGATATGCTACAAGAAGCGCTTGTCTATTATTTAAAAGTTTTGAACGCTCCCAATGTACCTGATGCTTTATACAAAACCGTGGCGGGAAGATTTATTGAGCGGGCCCGATTTTTAGGTAATTCTAACATTTATTTTCCCCCTAATGTCTAATTTAGATTTAATGGAAACGTACATTCCAGGACAATATAAAAAGGCAATTTCAGTGCACTGGCAACTTATCGAAAGGTATCCAGACGAACCAGTCTTCCGAAACAATTTGGCTGTGACGTATTTGACAATTAATTTGTATGTGCTTCAATTTCCTGAAAGTAACGACAACCTAAACGCTATCGCATGTTGCAGGGTGGACGATGCCAGAACTGTTTTAAAAAAAGTACTAGCCCTATGGCCGAATGATGGGGTTGCTTTAGTCCACTACGGTTTTATTTTAAAAACTATCGACAATAAATTAGAAGAAAGTGTGAAATATCTAACTGAAGGCTTGAAGACTCGGACCCCGGGAGTTAAAGATGGGAGATTTTATTTTCACTTGGGAGATGCTCTAAGTCGGCTTGGAAAACAAGAAGACGCGATGAAGGTAATAAATGCCTAATAGATGAATGCAGTACCATAATATAATTTCAGCTTTACGAAGAAGGGGTTGAGCAAGGAATTTTTATATCAAAATATCAAAGATCTCTTTACAATGTGCCAAGGCTGAAAGCGCAACCTTGGTGGGAAGTAAATGAATTAATTAGTTATAAAAACCTTATCTCCACTTTAAAAAATAATTGGAAAAAAATCCGTAACGAAGGTTTAGCCACTCTTAACGAACGAGGTTATTTTCAAGATGAATCCGAAAATTTAAGGGACACCGGCACATGGAAACAACTAGAGTTATTTGCGAGAGGGAAGAAAGTTGCGAAAAACTGCGCGAAATGCCCGGTAACTTGTGGTATTATACAGATGTTTCCTGAAGCTAGCGGGTGCCTCAGAGGTCAAACCAAATTTAGTGTTATGCATCCAAATACTCATGTCTGGTCCCACTGTGGGCCTACCAATTGCAGACTTAGAATACATTTAGGTTTAAAAGTCCCTCCCAATACATTGTTACGCGTAGGAGAAGAGACAAGGTAATAGGACTATATGAATTTGGTACAAATGTTCTGATGATATATAAGTGGCACCTTTAACTAAAGTTTAAGGGAACAAAATATTCTAATATCCTAAAGCAACCCACATTTATTATTCATATGACTTAAGGGTCTCATCATTGAATATCGCGTTCATTAACGCCATACACTGATAATACCTGCCACTTTGTAATTAGCTGAACTAAATAAGTAAAAAATAAGAAATAAAAAGTATAATTAATATTGCGTTTACAATTTTAGAAGCTGGAAAGAAGGTGATGTAATAATATTCGACGATAGTTTTGAACACGAAGTTTGGCATAATGGGACTCAATTGAGACTGGTTTTAATTGTTGATGTTTGGCACCCTGAACTTTCAGAGGCGGAGAGGAAAACCCTATCTCCTATTTGAAAATGTTGTGTACTTTGTTAATCTACTGTTACTGTTTGAAAAACAAGTGTATAGTTTATTGTATACTCGATCAATAAAATATTATTTAACACTTAAGCATTTACCTTCTAATATTCTCTTAAAATTTACAACACTTCACCTAATTAGTCGCCTTGAAATAGTAATCTGCTTTCACTAAAAAGTGAAGGCTGGTAGTTTGGCCGTCGGACGCTAGATGTCCCCACGATATGGAAAATTCTCATCCAAAAAAACTAAAGTTTATTAGCATCAGATAACGCATCTCCTAAGCTGATATAAAAAGTCTTAAAGTGATTAATCAATTTAATATCCCTTTAAATTTTTCATTGTTCCCATATGTTTACGTCAGCAACTGTCAAAGACCAGTCACTTTAAAAAAACTTTGTTTATCGAAAATTTAAATTGTGTTGCGATAAAAATATGTTACAGTTTCTAGGAGGGCAAGTAAGTAGGGTCCACAAGGTGGTAGCCAAATATAGTTCTAATATTTAATTACGTTTTTTTAGACGTGAAGAGAGAAAATGTACCCTACAGACATACCACTTTTATTTGCACCCGAGAATGATACGTGTTTGATAGCACATAAAAATAATACTGTGATTACCAATGTTTATAATGGAATACCGGAGACGTTAATACTAAACGTCGTGACATGGATATTGTTAATACTTTTATTTGCAATTTTGCGTAACAGGGCATGGGACTATGGACGACTGGCTTTGGTACATACAGAGAAATGGACACAGTTATTTTACAAAAATACAGACGATGCCATTGCAGTAGAGGAATCTAGCGCAGATATCTCCTTAATGCCGGATACCGGGTGCCTGTGGTTTCCTACAATATTCAAAATTGGAAAAGACAAAATATATTCACGGTGCGGACCTGATGCCGCACATTATCTATCCTTCCAAAAGCAGCTCCTTTTGTTATTCACCATAATAACTCTGTTTTCAATTTGTGTTATTTTGCCAGTTAATTTTCAAGGAACATTAGAAGGTAATAAAACTACCTTTGGACATACAACTCTAAGCAATTTGGGGCCTTCATCCAATTTATTATGGATACATGTGATTGCGAGCTTATTTTATGTCCCGCTTACTGTGTTAATAATGAGAAAAAGTTCTGGAAGAGCACCTAGCGGTACAGCGTTATCCTCAAAGACTATTATGATTACACATATCTCAAGACCACATCGGAATGTTGAGGATATTAAAAACTACTTCACTGTGCGTTATCCGGGCATTGATGTCGTCGATGTAAATATTGCTTACAAAGTTAAAAAACTTACACTACTGGAACGTGAAAGAGAGAAGGTACACGAAGCTAAGCATTATTGTACTTCTAACCCTCAGAAAGTGAACATCAAAGTTCAACCATATGGATGTATAGTGTGTTGCCCCTGGAAGACCGTAAATGCTTTGGAGTATTATACAAGAGAAGAACAGAGGCTGAATGATTTGGTATGCTCAGAAAGAAGAAATGCACTTTCTCGTCCACTGGGAATCGCATTTGTCACATTAAGTTCTGAAGAAATGGCGCAGCATGTGATTAGATCATTCCAACCGGGTTCATTACGTCACTGGCTCATCGCGAAGGCCCCATCTCCGTCAGATATCAACTGGGACAACTTAGAAATATCATACAGGCATTGGTATTCGAAAGCCATTATCATTAACTTATTATTATTTTTAATATTATTTTTCCTAACAACCCCGGTTAACGTCGTAAATATTCTAAATAGTATTAATATAGTTGACGAAGAAGCTATTAAGAAAGTAAGTCCTTTATTGTCTGAATTTCTTCCAACTCTAATTCTTCTGTCTGTGTCAGCCGTTATGCCTGTTATTGTGGCTTATACGGAAGAATGGATGTCCCATTGGACAAAGTCCAAACAAAATCATTCCACAATGCACAAAACATTTTTCTTTTTGCTTTTTATGGTTCTAATTTTGCCGTCTTTGGGTCTTAGTAGCGCGCAAGCGTTGATAAGTATGAAGGCACCAGATCAAACTATTAGGTGGAAATGTATTTTTCTCGTGGATAAAGGTGCTTTTTTTGTTAATTATGTTATAACTTCAGCTTTGATTGGAACAGCTTTAGAGCTTCTACGATTTCCAGAACTGGCTATGTATGCATGGAGACTGTTGGGTATTAAATCCGAAGCGGAGCAAACTTCCATTCGTAAAGAAATTCTTTCAGAATTTCCATTTGGCATTCACTATGCCTGGACTTTGTTAATTTTCACAATTAGCACAGTCTATAGTTTGTCATGTCCTTTAATTACACCGTTCGGCTTGTTATACCTTTGTTTAAAACATTTGGTTGACAAATACAACATTTATTATGTATATCGTCCCATTACGATGTCAGGCGAGGGTCAGCAAATTCACGCGGACGCCGTGCGGATGGTACGAGTTGCGATAATATTGTGTCAATTAATTTTAAGCGCGTTTTTCTTTGTAAGGGAAAGTGGCGGCTTGAACCTAATGATTTTTGTTACGTTTTTAGGATCATGCATAACATTTTCATTCTTTTTCTTCCTACCTCCGTTCCCTACTTGCAAACCTTCTTCCTTAAACAGCCCCAATTTACCAGACTTAAGAGAACAATATGTTGCTCCTGTATTATTGAGTTCCAGTAGCGTAGAAAATCAGACAGAAGTATCGTCTCCTACTCTATATGGGTCCTCTTCTTCGATGATTGTCATCCCCGAAACAGGTTCCAGTAACGCATAAATCTTATTAGGTGTGTGTATTTCATTTGATGGCTGTGAAGAGTGAATTTTCGTGGTGTGTGATTTCTAATAACTGCGGATTAATCTAGCCAGTTTTGTGTTTTGTTTTCATGTAATATTTCGCCAATATTATTTATTTTCAGAATTCACATTTCTGAGCGTCAGCTATTTTATAACCTTTTCTAGTCTAAATTAGCATTTAATGATTAATGAGTCTAACTTGTTCCTTGTATAAACCGACAATTTTCAGAATTTTTAGTTTTTGTTTGAAATAGTTTTCAGAAATTCAGTTGTACTTTCAACATATTAATAACTTGCGTGATACAAGTTTTCTGTTACTCTAGCATTACTTGATTGAGCAGCGAAGTTATAATATTGTAGTAAACGAATTATATTTTCTAGTATGTATTTTTTCATGGTATTGTTTGATAGTTTTTAAAATATAATTTAAACAATTAATATATTTATTTTAACAGTTTTTAGTGTTTATTTTGCGTTTCCGGAGCTTCATATTGCAACCTGTGTATGTCAAATAAATAACTTTTAAATAATAACGACAATTGTAGACAAAGAAATGTTTATTTAAAAACTTTAACTAAACAATCTGTTGAATGCACACCCAATAATAACAAGAATGCAAATCAATTTTCAAATTTATTGGGTTCCAGCGCTATTATAAATATATTTCAACAATGTTTGAAAATTATCCAGTCTGATAACAAATACAAAAATAAATTAAGATGTTGGTTTTCAATGAATTATGAATCTTCAGTGCTTTTTAATTGGCTTCGCCAATTTTTCATAAGTACTTTTACTGTTGTACCACAAAGCTAACGGTATTACGAGTGATGGTGTTGTCATAAGCGCAAAAGCCAACCAGTCCCAGTAGTGGGCCGAGAATTTCTTATCATAATCACGGAATGCTATAATACCTCCCTCTCCAGGTTCACTACTATAAGATACTTGGACCTAAAAATATAAACCCTCTGAGTAAAATAACTTCCATAACTAACCTAACAAAATAAATCTACCTTGGCATTGGGGTCATCAGAGATTTTATAGGTTACCTCCGAACTTGTGAAGTTAAAGTAACCATACCTCTTCGGTCGGACAACAACTACATGAGTAAAATTAGACTCGGGAGGTATCCTGACAAATGTTGTAGAAAGATGTCCCCCGACAATTTGGAAAGCTTCTGGGTGGAATCCATTATCAACAAGTTGCACATTAACAGCTGGAGCTTTACCAATATTATAAAGGGAATATCGCACTTCAATGTCTCTACTTTCTACTAAGTATCTATTGAGAATTTGTTTGGATACCAGCAGCCTCGCTCCTTGCGCCTCATCTTCCTTCTCCTCCGAGCAATATGCTACCACAAAAACCGCGACCAAGATTTGAAAGATTTTGTACATTTTCTGTAAGAAATAATAAGACGTGAATAAAACCCCGTTTTAAAATTGCAACACCACTTAGATGTTATCAAATCAATTAAGTCTTAACTTACCTTCTTCGCTGCCGTACCACTTACTACTTAATATTTCCTAAACAAAATTAACTTAACCACAAAACTTGAGTGATTGAGCAGAGAAAACCGCCACGAGATGCCACGTCTGCGTCACATTACATGTTGGCAATTTCAGGCGTGTTCCAAAATACGTTCGGTGACGTATGCAACTCCTGCTCTCGCGTAGTTCAAATGGCCATAATTTTTTTTCGCGGTTGATTTTTTAAAACCAAGTTCGCTTAAAAAATGTCGTAATATGGTAAATCTACTAGGATATAATAAAGATCTGCACGCTAGGATAACGGCACGTTTTATTCAAAAATTTGTAGCAAAAAAGTTAAATAATTCAAAGCAGAAAAAATATTAAACAAAATTAAGTGTTCGAATGCGTCGCTTTTGACATCATACTCTCCACCCGGTTCGCTGTTTCTCTAACAACATCTGATAGTTCAGGTAACTCTGGCAAATCTAAAGTAATATGAGCAGATAAACGTTTATACACAGAATTTGAATCTGATTTCTTCCTCCGGGACTCCTCATATTTCAATTGCTGTTTTAAAAAAATCGCGTTTTTTAAAAGTTCTCGTATACTGTCAAAACTTTCATCTGCATTGTTTATTGATTTAAGGGCCCTAAAAATAATAATATACATACGCCATCTACACAAAGGGGCTTTGATTTACCCAACAGCATATTCCAGATCGTAACACCGTCCCTGCAATTCGGTGTGCAATTTATTTACATCCGCTCTTTTATCTACCATAGGATTTAAAGCTTTTCTAACATGCTCTTGCAGTCTATAAAACGCTAAAGAAGGTTCGTTTGCTACTATGTGCATATTTTCGGATATTCTTTCAGTGGCTAAAATATTTATTCATAATTGAAAATAGATTAAAGCACCTTTTAAACCATGAAACATTACCTTTTCGAGCTTTCACTTCCAAATCTGAATCGGAATTAAAAGCCATGTTATTTCACACGAAATAAATAAAAATCAGCTGGTTCTGACATACAAAGATTGGAATTAAGAATACCATATATCTGGCACCATCTAGTAAGCAGGAGCCACACAAATTTAATTTCTATATTAGTTCAAAGCCTCGTTACTAGAGGGTGGTGTAATACGCAAAAACCCGGAGGATTTCAAAATCAATATTTTTTTATTTAAGGTTTAGAAATGACCTTTATTTTCGTCTACCTGAATGTCGAGACAAAAATGTGCGTCCGTATTGATTAATCCCTTGGGTTAAGGGTAAAATATTTCGGTTTCACATTGGTAGAAAGAGATAAAGCTTGTAGGTTGTAAATTATTATTGATTTTGCCGACTCCATTAATTATTTACAGGTTTTTATTTGACTCTAGCTAAAATATATTTGTATCGAATAGAGGTTAAAATCAGTAAATGTTATTTGGACTTATTACATGAAAAACACATAATAATTCGCTTAGAATGAATTAGGTACATTAATTTTTTTTTTGATTGCTGCTGCAAATAAACCATACTAAGAGTCTACATTAAAAATATACCTCCTTGTAGTACTTTACTAGTCACTCAATACAATGAAGAAAACATTTTTTGTTTGGTCATATTTAGTTACTTATTTTGCAAGGAAACTCTAAACTGAATAAGAAATTATTTTTAATTCTATATAATAATTCAATTGTAAATCTGACAAGTTTGAAGTTTTTTGGAAATAAAGATGAGTTTTAATTACCATCGCTTTGAGATATTAAATAAAACCATCGTCAATTAATTTTTTACGTCGTATAATAATTAACACAGGAAGCATCTATTTTTCTTTTATACCAACCACGTGGCGATGTGGATTCATAGGTATTTGAAGTCTGAAACGCACGCGATGGCGGCGTTGTCAAATCGTGCCTTCAAATTAATATCTACTCAAAGAAACGTTTATATTGAATCATTAAATATGGTACATACATCAATTTCGTTAAATTTTAGTTAAAGCGCTTAATGTCGAGATTAACAATTAGTGAAGTTTTATCCGCTGGCTTGTTAATTGAAACGTCCGTGAAAATTTGGCAGCAGCGCCGTTCCCCCCTAATCTTCATGATTTAGCTACAAGTTTACTTTTGTTGCTTATAGATTTTTCGTTTTAGTTGTAAAGGTAAATTTGTTGAGTAAAGAATATTTGTCAAAAATTAATTTATATTCCGAGCGGAGTGAGAAAGAGGATTAAAAAAATGGGTTGGTTTAACGCGATGTGCACTTCTGTTGCTCGCCTGGATGGGAAAACCGCTGTAATTACCGGGTGTAACACGGGAATCGGCAAAGTCACTGTTCAAGATTTTTTCGAAAGAGGCAAGTTGCTTTAAATTTACGTTTAACGTGTTAGTTCCCGACCAGTTAACAGATAATTGAACCTTAGAATCTTATTGGAATTATTAGATTATTAAAACAAATTAAAAATCTACCAAATTGTATTACTTCAAGGAGTTTTAAATACATTTTTCCTGATGATAAAATATTTCAAAAGCTCTCGAGCCCTTTAATTTAATAAAAAGGCGATAATGGGTGTTTCCTAATTCTACAGGTGAAAATTTGCAATTTACCAAATCAACTCCGGATCTCAATAAGATTTTCCATTTCCAAATATATATTTTTTTGTTTTCAACTTCTGCGCCTATTGAGATATATCAACCAAATTTCGTGCGTATTCTTATCTTATCGCAGGCCAAAAACGCTGAAAATAATGAGGTCTAATTTTAACTAATGAGGGGATAGAGGCAACTGGTCGCAATTTTTTTAAATAAAACTAATGAGACTACATCAAACTAAAATTTTACTACGCCTCTTCTTTCATGGGCCTTAAGCCCCCACGTTTATTTAACCATGCCGCAATTTGGATATTTCTAGAAAAAATGTTGATTGGTCATGAACTATAGCGCGTTGACCTTAACTCAAGAAGTTTCATACTGGTTAGGTGCGCGGGTCATAATGGCCTGCAGAAACAGAGAAAAAGCGACCCAAGCAGCCGAAGAAATAAAACAGGCAACCGCGTCGAAATCAAACCTCGGAGAGATCATCGTGGAAGAATTAGATTTAATGAGCTTGAAATCGGTGAGAAGTTGTGCTGAAAAGATATTAGCAAGAGAAAAAAGAATCGATTTGTTAATCAATAATGCTGGAGTAATGACTTGTCCGTACGGAAAAACAGAAGACGGCTTCGAAATACAATTCGGGACCAACCATTTGGGGCATTTCCTTTTAACGCTACTTCTGCTGCCGAGAATTTGTCAAAGTACCCCTGCCAGGATTGTCAATGTATCGTCAGTGGCACATGAACGTAAGTATATTAAAACGTACATTCTAACAACGACATACCTGTAACCGGTTATTCGGGTGATAAGGAAACCACAGAATTAATACGTGTAATTGTATATGGAACTGGAGCGAAACATTTTAGCGCTTTATGCAATTCCTGTTCGTATAAGTTGTATATAATTATTGCACTTAAAATAGATGACTAGCACCTAATTGGTATCTAACGTATTTGCTACTCAAAATTTTGTAGCAATCAGATAAATATATTGGAACGTTATTTGCAAAACACATTTTATACCAGATCCAAGCTAACGCGAACATGATGGACGAATTTACCGTGGCCCGTGACACATGAAGAAGGTGGGATCACCGTCGTGCTATCTTTTTACGACTTATTTTTATTTTAATATTTTGTTTTATTTCCTCCTTTGATCGTACAATACAGCGAAGAGTTCTTAAATAAAATAGTATATTATTAGATGGATGTTTCAAAAAGCTTAGGTGACTGATTACCAAATCATTGATCGAAGAATTTTTTTCAGACGACATTTTATCATTAAAAGTGCTAATTGTGTCGAAACCTTTCTTCATCTATCGGAGCACTTTTCCATTACTGAATCGATATTGGTCGAAATACACTGATAAATTTCACTTATCCCGACTTATGTTCGCAGTAGCTTGGACTTCATTATATACAGTGTGATTAAATTTTATCTGAACATCGACCGAACAATGTTGATCATCGACATAGTTGGTATATTAAGACAATCATCGCTTGCACTTGCTAGCATTTTTTTAGGATCGGTTTTTGTATTCACTTGTATTCACTTTTTTTGTAATAATTGTGAACACTGCTTTTTTACCCCCTCTGAAATGTGTCAAATGCAATATATAGCAACATAAGCTTCATAAAATAAAATTTTCTAGAAATTGTATCGAAAGGGAGCTAATTATAAAATCTGGCATTTTAGCGTTTTATAACCTGAAAAAAAATACATCGTTCTCACATGCAATGCCCACCAAATTTACGTGGGTCGACTATAAACACTGTATATTACTGCTAAAATTTGAATATTGGATATTTCTCGGATTATTACGCGAATAGTGTTAGAATGAGCGAAATGGATAAACTTGTATCTACCGAAAGGAGAAACATAAAACAAAATTGTGACTAACCACTGTAATGGAATTAAGTGAAGCGCTTCAGTTTTATGTCGCACCTGCACTCGCAACCGTACACCGAAAGAAGGGGAGTTTTTCTGGAATTTTCAGTTCTTAATAATAAATCTCTGCCGAAACTGGGCAAAATCGGGGACTGCAGGGGTCAAAACTACTAATCAGTTCGCGCTAGAAGTACACTACTAGGAGCACCAGACATGTAGGTAGAGAAGAAACACAAAATCTACACAGGGAGAAGTATTTTAACCACATTATTACTCATATACATATCACTTAACACCGCATACCATTAAATTTGCATGAATTATCGAAAGGTTGGTGAATTGGTTAATTGATAATAATAAGGCTTTGAATTATAGGAGGAACTATGAATTTTGACGATCTTAATTGGGAAAAAACCAAATATAATCCGATTAAAGCGTACGGCCAAAGTAAACTCGCCAACATTTTGTTTACCAAGGAATTGGACCGGCGTTTAAAAGGTACTGTCGCCACTGACCAACGTAATATGCCAATTGACCCGAGTTTTCATTGCAGAAGCGGGGGTATCAGGGGTTAACGTATATAGTCTACATCCGGGGGTGATAAACACAGAATTGTCCCGTCATGTCGGAGACACTTTTGGAAAAGCCATGGGGTGGATATACGACAACGTTATCGGATGTTTCATAAAGTCGGCCGTTGAAGGAGCCCAAACGACAATTTACTGCGCGGTAGACGAAAAGTGCGCACGCGAGTCCGGGCTATACTACGCCGAATGCGCAGTTAAAACACCGAAAAAGAACGCTCTTAATATGGACGACGCTTCCAAATTGTGGGACGAAAGCTTGAAACTGGTCGACTTACCTTTGGATTACAATCCTTTCAAATAAACTGGCCTGGTGTGGTGAAGCATTCCAATTACATAATTATTGACCCATACGGCTTTGTTTACCTTAATTATGTGTATAAGTAACTTTGTGTAAAATGACTTGAGATGAAGTCCTTATAATACTTACTGGGTGTCATAGGGTTTTTTTTTATGTATACAAACACTTTAATACCTATCACCAAGTTACTTGTCAAATGATGTAGTTCAACAAGTGTAACAAGTGAACTTTAATAAATATTTATCGTCTATTTTAATTGCCTCGTCGCATTTTGAATAGTAAGTAGCAAAATATTTAGAAATTATCCACGTAATAAAAAAAGGTATTTTCGACATACCCGGTGTTTGCCAAAATATTTCTAGAATATAGATCATCCACTTATTATTGAATATTGACAACCAAATTTCGAAATGCTCCTTTAGTTTTAGAACGTTCTTCCATAGCAGTTCAACTTTTAGGCAACAGTTTGTACTACAAATGTATTTTTCATAATTATACGTTGGAATATTTCTTAGGCATTCAACTGCTTTTCAGGGGGGACAATAAATTTTGACGATCTAAATTGGTCACAAACTCCGTACAGCGCCATTAAGGCTTATGGACAGAGTAAACTAGCCAACGTCTTATTTACCAAAGAACTGCACAGAAAATTACGAGGTGAGTGAAAACGGCCACGTGACTCAGCATCGTGGAAGTAAAACTTTGTTTCAGAAAAAAATATCAAGGACGTTAACGTCTACAGTCTTCATCCTGGCGTAATAAAAACCGAACTGGCACGTCACGTCGCTGATACATACGGAAAAGGGGTAAAATTATTGATGAGCGCAATGCGTTGGTTCTTCAAAACGCCTCTGCAAGGTGCGCAGACGACTATATACTGCGCGGTTGATGAAAAATGCGCGAGCGAGTCAGGATTATATTACGCAGAGTGCGCAGTTAAAGAACCGTCGCAGGCTGCGCAGAACGAGGCGGACGCGAAACGATTGTGGAGCGAGAGTTTGAAATTGGTCGGCTTGCCTGAAAATTACGAACCTTTTTAAACTGAAATAAAAAAAAAACAAAATAAATAATATGTATTAAAAAACACTCGTATTTATTTTGCTAAGTCGGGGAATATAAAAATATATCTACAATGTCTACAATTTAGGGCCATAACGTCTAAAGACAATTATTAATAAATAAGGTAAACATAAACATAATATTTTCAAGAGTCTGCGAAAATACATTGGAACTAGAATGTATTCTATCACGAATTATATATCAGTTGACATATCACAAGCTCATACCCCGTAAAAACACACGGGTATATCTTTTATAACCATTTTTTTTACAAAAAAAAATCGTTTTAAGTTTAATTTTGTAGTCTGTCTATTTTTTTTTCCATTCAACAAGACCGTTCTGTAGCGGTTTTTACTCCATCAAGTTTTAATCTGTGCCCGTAATGAAAGAGAGACTATAAAAAATATAGAAACGGCGAATAAATTTTTTATTCTAAATTAATTTTTTTACAGGTCACTTATATAAGACTTCAATATAATATGGCACTTTATTTTGAACTGTTTCGACTATACGAAAACGATTTTTACCTCTCTCTGTAGAGAATATAAAGAAATACCTAAACAAAATTCTGGATTTCTTTTAGCGATACTCTTTAATAATAAGCTTCAATTTTTAGAAATGGAAGCGACACTTTGGCAAATCAACGTTAATTCTACGATTCAGTCTTAAAATTTTGGTCTCTATGTTAGGGAATGTATAAACTAAGTTAAAAAAAAGTATGTACATTACAGTACATTATTTTCTCGTATATTTTTGCACCTTGACTATACAGAGTCACTCACAAGTGTCAAAATACCAATATTGTGCTCTTTTATTCGTTAGAATTGTCGGATAATTAGGTTTGTTTTAGATGACTTTATTACCAAAAAAAAAAATTGATTCCTTTTCAAATTTACTAACATTTTTTGATATTTTTGACCAAGTCCGTAACAAATGTTAGTTGGGTGGAAAAGTATACGGCAAAATCGTGTTTGAAAATTTTTAAACGTTAACGCTGCTTGGCTCGTTGGGTTTGCAACTGGCCGACGGATTTTTTTCTTGCCTCGATTTCATCGAATTAGAATTTTTCGAATCGGAAAAAGCGACGCTCGACCTAACGATCCGCAATAATTTTTTATACGCCGATCGGTATTGACGATTACTCGCTGCGTAAATAAAAGGGTTGACGACGCTAGAAGCCCACGCCAAAATCGAAGCTATAACGTGCAATACGGGATATTTGACGTTATCGTCGAATACGTTGACTAGCATCAGAGGAAGGAAACAAAACAAAAAACAAATAAATATTAACGCCATTAATTTGGTCAAACGGCTGTCGTCTTTTTCTCTTCGGCTGTTGCGTTTTTCCGCGTTCGATCTGAAATATGGAGGTTTCGAAATGTGAGAAACGGCGGGTAGAGATATTAAAAAAAAAGTACCGCAATAGATATTCATGGTTTGTGTCACCATAAACCCTCGTATGGCGCTTGCCATATAAAAATATATAAATTGAACGTATAAGCGGGCACGTAAGCTTGAGCGATTAATTTTATAGCGTACGATTTGAAATTAATCGTTTGTTAAAACTATGCTTTACTACGCAATATTTTTTCTGACTCACGTTGGTATTTTATAAAAAATGTCGAAATTCATACTGCATTTTTTTTCTAAATGCTCTGAAATAAAATGACACTTTGTTTAGGCTAATTGTTAGAAAATGCGATTAAGGATATTTACGAGTAGTTCAAAATATACCAAAAACCCTTATGATAACGTCAGAAGAAAACACTTGACGTCTAAAAATAAACAACGCTACCACTTACTGATGAGATCGAAGCTTCTTATTCGAACGTCTTACGCTGCAGTAAATGCAAGAATAAGCTAAAATAATGATGACGCAAGGGAGAGCAAATCCCACTAGAAATATAGCTTTCTTGGGCGATTTCCCGTCTTTTTCCAATACGGTGCAAGAAAAGGTTGAAGCGTTTAAGCCCAGCTGTCCCCATACTCCCAGTAAAGGCGGCAACTGAAACACAATAGGCCTATTGTGTGTATATAATCCATCAATTTTGATGTATTTGCGGTATAAGTTGTGTAAATCTAGGGCAATTTATGAAACAAGGATATTGTCGCAACTAGAAAATTAATGGAAAATTGCAAAATCAAAAAATACGCTACCATAAAATGCGAGATATCTTATATTACATACAGCTAAAAAACATCGGTTCTTTTTCATTTTTCATTAAATGGGTGGCCGATGTTCGAACATTTTCGAAAATAAATGCCAATAACGTAAGAATGACTAAACGCACTTTCTCAAGCTTGGAGTTGTTGAGTGGAACAATGTCGAATATTTGCGAATATTTTCTGTATACCTGGCGTTACCAAATTCTAATTTTCATTCTGTTTGCAAAATATATATAAATTTACCGTTAAAATACAAAAATTAAATATAAAACGGAAATAATAACTAATACTCATTTAATATGATTGAATATTGCCCATTCTCTTCATACGAAGTTGGAAGTTTTTAAAATCCAATTGTGCTTTGGAAAACAAAAATGGTACAAAATTGTAATAGTGGCATTTGTGTCAATGAATATTAAGATTGCAGCTATTTAGAATGTATTTTGGTGGCCTTCGTTGTAAAAAAATGTCTTTTCTACCTCTGCGCTTGATATGTGTTTATTTTCAAAATGCTGAAAAAGCAACTCCTTCAGTTAGAATTCATGCGATGAAGTATCCTACATTAAAAATTAATTTTATTTCTAGCGATGTCGCAAAACGTCCTCTAGCGGCGATACAATCAATAAGCTCAGGGCAGAGTTAATGGTCTAAGAAGAGCCCTTTCAACAACTCCAAGTATGACAAAATGTCGAGCATTTCCAAAGTTATTGACGTTTATTTCTCAAAAGAAGTAGAGTAAAAACTATTTTACAAAATTTTTGTTTTCTGAAATGTAAGGTTATTTCTTAGAAAATGGGCTTCCAAATTTTCGAGATAGTTTTATGTTTAATCATATTAAGAAGTATCCAAATTTTGCGAGGAATAGCGATCCCTCGCAACAATTTCCCACCCTATGCCGTCAACTATGTTCACCCCATTGCTTGTCAACCCTCGGACAAATCGATAGGACATATTTTTGCAGAACACTAAATGAATCCTTACCATTATCAGGAATGCGAACCCCCAGGTACAAAGCAGCTGCATCCATATTGAAAACGTCGAATAGAATCTATTGTAATACTCGTAACAAGATATAAGCACATATCTGAAACAAAATTGTTTTCGATTAATATTTAACATATTATTATAGAAAATGTTATGGGCCAGCCACATCCCGTATTTGAAGAATTACCTTACGAAATATGCCTTTGGGTCATGCGTGAAACAAACATGCAAAACAGACCATTGTAGAAAGTAATTACTTTCAAATCGCAATCAAAATTACAGGAAATTTAACGTATTTAATTTAAATAGGTGACTCAATGAGGTTGGGCAATTTGTTGCAAAACACCAATTTGTTGTAAATAAATCACCTCTGTTCGTTAGGTACACGGCGAATATCGTCACTCGTAGACCGTATTTTGTAAAAAAAGATTAATTGGAACTAATTACACTACAAAAGAAAAACCAGTCATCTCTGTGAGCAAGACAATGCGACTAAATGATTCATTTTCTCGTTGACATTTGACACTTCAACTGGCCCATTTTAATAGGAATTAAATAGGCGGTTATTCCGACTTAAGCGTAATATGGAATTGTTGCTGGTTCATCTTAAAATAGCTTTTAATTCAAATCTTAATCGCTGCTAACGCTTAAAAACGCATTTATTTATTTTTTTCAAACCTATCAACAAAAACTGCTGACAAGGACCTTTTATCGAGCGACATATTTAAATAAATAAAAGCAAAACATGTTAATGTCTAGATTTTATCACAAAGTGTTGTGTGTGTATAAAGCTCGGCCGTTTTTCATCCCGCGAGCTGAATTTTGTTTCAACTCCAGACGGCTTCCTTTCTTAACATAATGGGCCTGTTGTCTCTCAACTCTTTGATATATCGAGTTATTTTGACTATTACAAGAGGTCATTGAATGGATTTAATCCGAGTGCGAAATGTGTGCGTGCGTTATCATTTTAAATACGCGGAGTATTCGATTCATCTTAGTTCCGGTTATTTATAAGTTTATTTATTCCAACCACATAAACTAACAAAAAAAATCATCGGTTATTAATAATCGATTTCCAAGAAAACTCTATCTAAATATATTTTTAAAAATGCTCGTCGCTAGTGAATCATCCAGCGAGTTGTAATTCCGGCTCCTAGTGAAATGTTATTTTGGTACAAAAAAAATAAAATTATTTCTTTCAAGCTATTCATTATTTAAACATTTTGCCGATTTTATCATCTAGCAGGTCCAAAAATGCCAGAACCATCTGCTTTATATACTCGAGTATCGAATTTCGAGTAATTAATAACCTGTATATAGGGTGAATCACTTTCAACGTGCTGGGGAATTAACAACCTTTCAAAATTTTCTATTTGACCGCAGTATATGATAATATGTAAATGTAACTATGCAAGTTTTACCAGAAGCCATCGACAACTTTGGGACAAAAAATAATTAACAATATATTTTTTTAAATCATGCACTAAGTACGTAAAATTAATTTAATAATTATGTCCCCAAGTAAGCCAGATATATCGTAAAAAGCGCCAAACTAACCAAAAGCCACTTAATATTTACCAAGTTGCAATATCTATAGTAATATAGAGTTGGCATATGTTTTTTGAAACGCCCTGTATATGCTCGCAATTTAAGTAAATGCGAGTTAATAACAACATATAATAGTACACGTACTGATTATAAAATATTTTTTGTTGTATACCATTGATGTCATTTATATACCTGGGTTTTTCATGGACGTGTCCATCTTGATGCGTTATTATTGCAGTTGCATATTACAGTCCTACTTTTTTCAGGACTTGGAAAATGGTATAATCAATTGAGTAGCACCTGTAGTTTCTAAGCTACGACGGAAAATCGAAAAACCTTTATAGTAACAGTATCTTCAATTATAAGGAAGTTTTGGTTAGGTGGGAGCAGGAAATTTTCTTTCTATTTTTCGTGACACCAATAGCACAGAAAGTTAAATGTCTGATTATATCTACTGTTGCATTTCCGAAAACATTTCTGAACTGTTAACGTTCTTGTTGTGACTGGAAGGCCTTGCTGTTACAACAGGAATTCGAACAGTTTTTAATTTGATTTGCAAGAAATAGATTACTGATATTTACCTGTTTAAAGTAATAGCAACCATATTAAGTACGGAAACAGCCACGTTTCCGTAAAACAGCACCGGAAAAAGTTTACAAAGGACGTCACCCAACAGCCACGATTCAGATATATACCTGGCAGCAGTCAATGGTAAATTTACTGCACAAAAAAGTAAATCGGATATGCACAGGGACAATACAAACGCAGTCGTTGCGTGGACCCTTAATTTCGGACATCTTATCAGCGCCAAGACTGTCACAAAATTACCTGAAAAAGTAGACTGTTAGTTCCGGATACCAGTTGTATCGAAAGATTTGCCTATACAAAGGAAATGTCTAATTGTTATATCAAAACAATCCATAAAAAATGTTAGGGGATGGTATATTCATTATATATACAGTATTGTTTACTATGACACTTAGTTTCCTCGCATTTAATATAATCTCATTCGGTAAATATTTATTGTCAAGACATTGGGACGATAAGAAAGCAATTTTGTCGGCTTTTATGATGTTGAGACGGTATTTGTGATATCCTGTGTTCCACATTCATCGATTTATAATATAATTTCAAATCTAATGGGAATTTATACGCCGCGCTGCACCAACTCGCGAAGTTTCAACAGGTTCGAACGCGTCGTCAAAACTGGAAAGTTGTTTGTTTGGCTTTTCGTTTACCCTTTCAAACAAACATTACCACGTTATACTTAATAAATAATTAATTTACTTACCTATCACACCCACGATACAAAACAAAATGGCACAAAACGCACCGAATATAGTGGCCTCCCTCGGATATTTAACCACTTCGATATTTTCATTCATGATTTTCGTTCCATTCGGCGTTAAAATGACAAGCGAATTTTTCGAAAAATAAAATTATAAACGTCACATTACAAAAACTCGCGCACAGCACGCTTGGATGTGGCGGTGTTATGAACGGATCGCTTCGCAGAGGTTCCAAAACATGTGCGTTTTGAAAGTGGGGGAAAGTGATTTACCGCGCACGATGCGTACTCGATGGGTTTTTCTTTAGAAATCGAGAGACAATTTTCTTAAAAGCTTTTGTAATTTGACTCAAACATATGGCTATTTTCTGTATAGACTCACAAAAAATAAAGCTCCTTCCTGTTTAATTACTAAGCTACTTTGCCGCGAACTAACAAACAACAACAACAAAACAAATCGCCTTCAACATAAAAAATCTGGGTAACACTTATTTTTATTATTGTGGGTAAATCCTTAACTGCAAGTGGATTATTTATTTATTTATTTATTTATACAGAGTTGTTCACGCTACACGTCACGGAACATTGTTTACAAAAGATAAGGTCTTCAAAAATTTGTACTTCTGGCCTCTTTTGTCGTCATAATAAAAATTAAAATATTAAACTTGTATTTTTTCAATAAAGTTTTTTTAGTAATTTTGGTTTTGTCAAAATGTATTCTAATGTTAATTTCTCAAATACCAAAGAGGTAGTTAACTTACATATGTAAAGTGTAAAGATGGACTATATTTTATATCCCAATTATAAAAAAATTCCCATTTTATATAGGGTGGCCATATATAGAGACATACAATAAAACATAGACCATTTTCATGAAAACGTATGAATAATGCTTTTTTTTTAATGTTTATATTTATCACAGTTCTCCTATTTTAGACGTCTCCTTACGAAACATCTCTGTTATTATTCATGATACAAATATGGCGTTTGCACATCACTATCTGTTTTTTTGAGACTTGAAAATTCTTCATAGTAGTTATACTATCTTTCGATAATAACGGAGTTTTCCATAAAAATAAATTATAATAATGAGACCCTATCCTAAAATATCAAGAGGAGTTATATTTGAATGATAATATAAGTGCAAAAGAATATCGGAAAAAAAATTCTTTTAACAATGGACCATTTATTATTAATTTATTAATTATAAAAAACTGACAGTTTTATATAGAGAGCTCAAAAATGTATCCTACTATATAAATATATACATTTCGACACCTAGCATTTAAGTGAACACGTATTGATAATGAAATATATTTTGTTTTGTATTTTTAAATGAACTTTTATTTCACAGATGTTTCTCGTATTTAGACCCTCTGAGTTTTCCATGGATATTGTCGATCTACATGTGTCCTTAGGGAAAATTTTTTATATGATAATGTAAGTGCAAAACAAAATCAATCAATCAATGAAAAGTATAAAGAAGTTTTTGATGTCTTATTTAGTTAGTAATAGAATTAATAGTAATTTCCAATTAAAATCACAATTTTTGTAATATAATCGTAATTGATTGACATGACTTTGGAGTAATTTTTTTCTCCACTCCATTGATTGACAAAAAGCTAGATAGTAGATCAGTTTTTTTGCATCATCTTAAAGAGCATTTTCAAACATTAATTTTTAAATAATAATTTAGTTTGTGCCTATTTTTTAATAGCGCCAAGGGAAAATGAAATATGAAAAGAAAAGTAAAAGTATTAATAGTAATTTCCAATTACAATCAGTAGATAAGTTTAAAAAAAAAATAATAATTTTTAAAGAATAATTGTGTTATATTTCATGTAATGTTTATAGTATGCAGGAAACTTGAGTTAAATGGTAGGGAAAAATAAGAAGTTGTTGATCTCTTGTCAGTAAAAGCACTAATATTAAATACCCACTAAAAGCAAAATTTTACAATAATCGTACTTAATGGATATGGCGTTGGTGTATTTTTTTTCTTCATTGATTGACAAAGAGTAAGATAGCACCATCTTACAGAGTATCTTCGGAAATTAATTTTTAAAGAATAATTGTGTTATATTCTTTATTTCATGTTTATAGTATGAAGGAAATTTAATTGTAATGGTAGGGAAAAATAAGAAGTTTTTGATGTCTTATTTAGTCAGTAAAAACGCTAATAACAATTACCAACTAAAATCAAATTTGACAATAATCGTACTTAATGAATATGGCGTTGGTGTAATTTTTTTCTTCATTAATTCACAAAAAGTAAGATAGGGGAAAAATCCGTAGATCAGTTTTTTAGCACCACCATGTTCACTTTTTCAAGGTGGTACGGGAAAATCAAAGCCTTGTTCGTGATGTCTCGTTTACTCAGTAAAAATATTTATAATAATTCCCAACTAAAATCCCAATATTTACAACAATCGCATTAGATGAATAAGACTTGTTGAAATTTTCGTGGTTTGTGCGTATAATATATTGGATAAAAAAAAACGGGCAACGATTCATAATTACTAAGTATGTTCTATTGAAAAGAATTATTTTATTTTTACAGCTACTTTGACACATTTGATATTACAAAAAATGTAATGACAGTTCCTAATAGCTTGTTCTCACACCCTGTACATGGAATTTTTGTAACTGGAGAAACAATCCATTTAATTAAAGTAAAAGTTCGGGTTATAAAACTACACATTATTAATAATTTTTTAGTCTTCCTTGGACCAGAAAAAATTATTAGGCACTTGGTAGAGTGGAGAGAGATTCATTTGAGGGATGCTATAACTTCTGGGGCTGTGCTATACGATCCACCGGGCTAGATTGTCCTCCGCGGGTTCTCAACTGCCGTTCGTGTTGCAACAACTGGTGAGCAGCGCGATCCATTTCCTCTTGTGTCATGTCCAAAGCTTCTTGCATCTCTTTCGAAGTGTTTCTTACGAAGTCTGGGTCACAATATTTACCTAGGGGTAAATTATTACACCAAATTATTTTATGCGACCATTCTAATGGGTTAAAAGCAGCTGAAACTCTAATAAAGCGGCGCGACCTACAGGGCAACTTATTACCTAAGCCTTGTTCGGCCAATATACGTCCAACAAGACTTTCAGCCGATCCAACTACCTCGAAAGAAGCTGGTCTTCTTTCCGCTGGGCTTCCCGGCAGTGAATGGGTGAGTCTTTCTGCTCCCACGTGACCGTTAGGTTCAGTGGGAGATGCTGGAACTAAAAATTGCTTCTTAGTCTGACATAATTGACTAAACGTTCACATTTGAAGCTAATTCGAAGCGCTTAATCCAAAGGCCTAAATTGCTACCAGATTAAGTTTAAAGATTAAAATTGAGATTATTGGGTTACAGCCCATCAAACAATCAAACAATTTGCTTTGTTTATGCAACGTCTTTCTTACTGGTATGTGTGAATTTAGGGTTATGTTCTACACATGGATGGCTGGGATAGGCCAAAAATGACCCAAAAGTTGTTGGTGTTGGAATTTTAAATTTCGAAAGCGCTTGAGATGTGTCCGTGATAGCACATTTTTTTAAAAAGGAAAATAATGCGTGCACAATTTTTTTTGAATTCCCTATTAAACTTTAAACGGAAGAATTTGTTTGTGTAGTCACAACCACTCAAGCGCATGCGGGTCTAAGGCATGCAGCGGTCCCACAGAAATCTTTATCAAATACATATTTTTCAAATTTACAAATATGTGTACCGGGTGTCCATTTTTCGAAGATTTTACAGGTTGTCACACTTTCCTACTTTCTCGAGAAACAAAAGATGAGATGCGACCCACAGAATTTTTATAGTTTGTTTGATTTTTGAAATTCGGAATGTTTTTGGAAGCCTTGCATTTTTGAACATCCGTTAAATGTAGGCTTGTTGCCCTTATTTACATAGAATTCAATTGGCATACTCCGAATTTTTCTGTAAATTATATTTTGGAAATAAACCAAACTTATATATTTTTATCCTGTATATTTTTGGATAATACGATTGAGTTTCTCTCTATGGACGTCTTTAATATTAAGCCTAATATTTAAGTTTAAAAAAAAAATAGTTGTTTTTGTTAGTTAGCCATGACAGGTTATTTTAAAATGAAAATAACACAGTCCTGTCATATTGAAAAATTCTTGACCATCTGTCAAAATTCTGCGGTTTGCGTTTTTTGTAATTTGTGTTACAAATTTTAATTTAAAAGTCAAAAAAGTAAGTAAGTAAAAGGTGATTATAAAGAGTTATTATAAAGCCTCATCCACATTTTCTAGACACTGAATATAAGAAACTAGAATGTCGCATTTTCCCAAGTTTTAATTTTTTTGACTTTTAAATTAAAATTTGTAACATAAACAGCAATATTTTGACAGAAGCTTAACAATTTCTGAATATAAAAGGTCAAAACTTATTAGGTTTAATATTAAAAATAATAATGGAGTTTTATGCATTTTTGAGATATTCTTGACAAACGCAATCGTATTATCCAAAAATGTTATAAAAAATATAACTTTGGTTTATTTCTCGAGAATAATTGAAGAAAAATCTGAATTGTGAAAAACATCTCGTATCTCAAAAATCAAAAGGGCTGTGAAAATTCTGTTTGTGCCATCTTTTGTTCCTCGAAAAACTAGCACAGTTTTTCAAAGAAACTTGCACAGGCTGTTGTAATAGTATTTACAAATCTTCTGGATTCCTCCTGCGTCGGTCTTCAGAGCTTCACTGAAACTGGCTGGGTACCTGTTTATATATTGTTTGAGAGGGACGGAGCTACGTTGATGATACTTTTGTTATTTGACCTCATGGTTAAGAACCAGTCCGCGATTATCTTAGCAATTTAAATTCTATACAGCCTAACATACGTTTTACGTTTGAATTAGAAACTAATAATAATCTCCCATTGTAAGATATTCTTATGAATAGAAAATCAGTTCTAACATTGGGTCATTCTGTATACAGAAAACCTACGCACTCAAACCGATACCTTAATGCATTGCCACATCACCATCTGGCCCAAAAATCATCGGTTATCAACTCTCTTGTTTACAGAGCCGTAAAACTATCTTTACCCGAGTCATTGAACCCAGAATTAAAAGACCTTACATCTGCTCTTCTCTCTAATAATTTTCACATTAGAGATATGAAGCGATCCATCACAACTTTCCAAAGGCAACGAGTCTGAAAGCAATGCCACACTTGCCACTCTTCTCTTTCCTTACATTCACACTGACACATCAAAAGTTCTTAAGAAATATAACGTCAAAACTAGATTTACCACTTGTCCAAAAATCTCTCAACATCTTCTATCAACGAAAAATCCGAGAATCTATTTTATAAGCACAAAACATTCTTAACCGTGATACAAGTGCCAGTTTTGAAGAAGTCAACAAGATGATTGGCAAAACATCAGTAAGTTCGATTGATCACTAACCGACAAAGGAGGAATCCAGATTTGTAACTAGTAAGTAGCTCAGTGTCAAGAAATCCGCATCTCTCTGTCTCTAGATGTCATCGAAAAACCGACAGGAATTCAATCAATTGTAATTTAATTGGCTTACAACCCTCAATTGGGAAACTATGTCAGTTTACGGTAGACGAAATTGGATGAACCTAGCTGAAACCGAACCATACCAAACTACCCAAGTCAAACGGTGTGCGGTTTGGGGTTTGTCCAGATGGTTCGCCGAACCATCTGATTCGTGGTGTGCCACTAACGGAGCGGCATTATTGCCAATGGGGCTCACCAACATTTCAGATATAATAGACGTTCCGTTCGCGTATGGGACACTAGACGATTCGCAATTGTATCGATTTCTGTGGCACGTCTATACCGAGGCCGAAGGGAAATTCGGGCAAGGCTAACCTCTGCCGTGGAAGGAAGCCCTATGATTTAGAAGGGAGCAACGCGCATGCCGCCCGTCCGATCCCGATTGGATATCCAAATTTCGCATCGGGTAAAGGCCCATTCCAACGTCGTTGCCGTTGCTACCGCAGGACCAGTTAAGCGGTGCGGGCAAGAACCCTGCGACGGCCATTGCTTGTGCTTGTGCTAGCTTCAGGCCACTTGCGATACGACTAAAGCCGGGCGAAGATGCGCTAGCGTTCTCGGCGGTGGCGGCCACTGGCGATGACGACGAGGACATGCAGCCTCCTCCTAGACCTCCCAGACTGAGTTGAACCCGTCGGGGAGGTGGAGTCGGAGGCATCAACTCCTGGTTGTCGTCCTGCAGGCTAGCGGAAAAACACAACTCACAATTTGGACATGTGCTTTAAAATCGCACCTCGAGTCTCTTGATGTTTACTCGTTTGGAGGAGCTAGGATAAACCTACTTTGCTAACTACAGATTCCGCGCTAAAGTAAACGGTTGCTTCAATTTTTGCAATACATTTCCATTGCAATTTATTAACATTAGTCAATTTTTGCAATATGCGGAAGGGTAAACAAATTAAGGGATCTAGAGAGACTTTTCATTTATTTATTTTTGTAGATGTGCACCATGTGCCAAATAAAACGACCCACTATAGGATCTGGAAACCCATAGGAGATACGAAAAAAAGTTTCGTACAAAACTCTCCTGAAGATTTGAAAATATTATAATTTTGTTGCACAAAAGTGTCCCGTTATTTTAAATGGAACACCCTGTATATATCGCCATTTTTGAAAACCTTGTTCAAATTAAAGGTCACTTTCTTAAGAAATTCCTATTCGAATTTTGCATAGTTTAGGCAGAAATTGAGTTTGTGTCTTTTTTTTTCATATTTTGATTGCCCCATATAAAAGTGTGTTGTGACGTCACTGATCCAGGTATTGCAAGGAAAATCTAACCATAGATCAAGAAGATGATGCACAACTGAATTAGTTTTACAGATGCCTCTCAGATTATACAGGGTGTCCCAAATAGGTGCCGTTTTGGCGAATTCAATTAACAAAATCTCAAGATTTTCAAATGTAACACCCTATATTTTTTATTTAGATATCAATTCTAGGGTAAAATATAAAGTAAGTTGTAATTTATCTGATATTCAAATTTTTCTTCCTTAGAGATATTCGAGGTTTCAGATAACACCCGTATAAATTATTGTTGAATTTAACGCTGCCCACATTAGGGAACTTGTTGGCAATATTAGGAAATAGTAAAGACATGATCCTACTTCTTCTAAAGATATAATGCTCCAGATATACGAATAACTGTGTGTTGGTTTATCTAGGGCTCCAACAAAATTCTTTCTCCTGTTCGATTTTAAAAGACGTTTTATTCTTGACGCTTTTTTGAGCCACCTTTAAAATAATTTCAAATTGTGCATCCCAGTTGTCACAAATTCCTTTTAGAATTGAGAAAATTTCTAGCAGTTTCGAAGATATTCGCAAAAAATCGAAAATTGTTTGTTGTGTTATTTTTCCTACACCTTATTCGAAGAGATGTTTTTAAATACTTTGTCATAGTAATTTTTTGAACTTCACTAGAAGCTGTTACTAAATTTGAAATCTTAGTGCCGCCGACATCATCTTCATTGAACGCAATATGATTTTCAAACCTTTTTAAATGAATGTTTAATTAATGCAATATAAAAGGAAAGAAAACATATCAAAAATAAACTGATTATTAGGAAATAGGGAGGAGTAAACTAAATAATATTTAGAAATAAAATCAAGTTTCGACAGGTTTTCATGTCCAAATTGTGTTGGTGGCGACAAACAAAAACACAATATCACCACAATACGGTTAGCAGAACACATTTCGCAAAAAAAAATCGTTGTTATCTCCAAACCAAACCGAATATAACACGCCACCCTTATGCTCTTACCCTTGTAGTTAGGGTGCAGGAAACCAGATTTACTGAAAATTAAAATATAAACGCTATATATCTATTTGATCATTTTGATATTGAATAGTGGAATTATGCTGCTGTAATTGTTATGCCAATACGCACCAAATGCATATTCGCTTTGTTAAGAGAGTTGATTGAATGTCAAACCATTACTGAAATTGTAAATTAATTAGTCTACTCACTCAATCACTGTGTAGGTATTTTTCTCGGTATCACCATTGTGAAGATTAGTTAACGACCTAAGTGGAATTTCTTCATCCCTATATCTATCTTGATTGTTTAAAGATGTGGCACTGGTTCTGTTTTGAACGACGTTTTTGGTCATGGAAGTAATGTGATTCATCCCTTCCGTAACGGCGCTTTTAATAGAATTGTATGGAAGATAGTCCATGCTTGAAGCCGGAGTAATTTTGATCTGGGTGGAATTCACTTTCAAAGATTTTGCACGGTTGAAACTGTGCCCACGTTTCATTGACGACCAGACACTTCCAAAAAGTGAATGATTTCGCTGGAAATACGATCAACGTAAACTTTCTCATCACCCCAAGTTTCAAAAAGCCTTTGTTAAGCAGTATAAAACTTCCGAAAATGTCCTGCTTTCTTAAACAATAGAAAAGAATTTCTAAATAGGAATTTAAATATACTCGACAACGTCATTTGGTTTGCAAGTTTAAACATGTAAGTAGGAAAAAACATATTTTAAAAATTTGAACTGCAGGAAGTAAAGTTGACCCATTTAAAATACATTAAGGTGGGTTAAAAGTTATGTATTTTTAGACTTATAATGCCTTGAAGCTACAAAAATGAAATTATATCAAAGGTGAATTGAGAAATATGTTTTAAAAAAGCCAAATTCATTGATTTTAGTATTTCCATTCTAAATTATTTATTTCCAAATTTACAAAAAAATGGTAGGGTTAAAAATTATAATTAAAAAACAGCAATTCGAAAATTTTAATTTTCTCAATTTAAAAGAGTTTCAATTTCTCAAATTGTTTAAGATTAATCAAATAAGAAAAATTTAAAATAATGCAAAACAAACATTCGCAAAGGTACATTATTATTACAGCCCCTTTTAACCTATTTAACACATCTTGTATCTCTAATATTTTAAAAGTTATATATTTAAATAGTGGCCACACAAAAACTAAACTAACACAAACTAAACTTTCGTTTGCAGCTCATTTAATTAAAGTTTCATCAAGAATTTAATGGTTATAATAAAATAATCGAAGAATCATGGGAAAAATGGTAAATGAAACTTTTCTTTACTTGTCTAATGGCAAATCGCATTTAAGGTAATGAACTATTAATTATTTAGGATAACCTAGTTTTTTCAAATATCACCCTAGTGGGGAACAGAAACCTTTTATTACCGGTACCCTTTTTGCAACATTTTGACAACAAAATTTTCAAAATTCGTTCAAAAATAAGCTAACAGGAAGAAAAAAACCAGATAAGTAAAAACATTTTTATAAAAACACAATATTACTTAGGTGGTTTTTCTTCGATTTATCACCAAGTCGACATGATTGAATAAGTAGTAATATTTTGTTTTTATAAAAATTTATTTACTTATCTTGTTTTTTCCTTTCTGCGAGGTATTTCTTAACGGATTTTGAAAATTTTGGTGTGAAAATATTGCAAAAAAAGTACCTGTTTTGAAAAGTTTTTGTTGGAACGAGGGTGCTATTTGAAAAAACTAGGTTATCCTAAAAAATCAATAGTTCATTAAATTAAATGCTATTTGCTATTAGACAAGTAAAGAAAAGTTTCCTTTACAATTTTTCAAATGATCAGGTGATTCGGTAAATAGTATTTATGATGGTCACAGCATCTTAGACACAAGTTTCAAGGATTAAATAAAAAAAATTAAAAAAAGAGAATGCTCTCCTGAATCCAAAAATGCAAAAAATATACTTGTTCATTCAGCCTATATTAACCCTTCTAAATTTCAAATCGCTATCTCAAGCCGTTTAAAAGTTGTAGAGTGTTCCCACTTTCTTATGTCACCCGGTATACCATAACGCCAGATCAGTGGCTTTATTGCAATTGTAATATTTTTTTATGAATTAAATCTAAGAAAATGTTCCAAATCGCACACTCCTAAAGATTAAAAATCCAGATTATTAATCATCCAACCTTCGTTGTACCACTATTAACTTTAGAAATTATGTGGCTATGTATATTTTAAATTTATCCTTTTGTAAAGAAATGAATTCAAAAAGTGCTTGAGAAAGATTGCAATACTTCGCAATGTTGTTCATTTATGTCTTAATTGTTAGATAATAAATAATATTTTGCAATGTGGATCATTTTTTGGGTAGTAATGTACAGAATGTACAGTAATGTACAGAAAATAAGTTTTCGTGTCACTAATTAAATCATTTTTTCACTTTTATTGCTAAATTAATATCATTCTGGATCATAGAATAATATCCAACTCACGCGGTGCATTGGTTCCGGATTATCGTCCACGAGTTCGTCGAGATTTCCGGAAATAGCACGCTTCAGCTCCGGTCCTGCTTCGTGTAACGTTCTCAAACCAGCTTGAAGCGTAACGGTATTGTGTTGCTCTTTGTCCACCTCCTTTAATTCTTGCTCTTTTCTTTTCTTGAACCGTCTGAAGTAGTCTTGAATGAGGAAAGTGGCGTAAAATTTCCCGACTGTCACTTCGTCGTCTACTCCTGGCGGAGGAACCACTTGGTCGAGCAACTTCGGACTGGTCCTCTTCCAAATTTTTTTAATAACCGCTCGCAATTCGGCGTTCGCTTCGTCTATATTGCCTTCGGTTTTAATTCTGAGTGAAGTCCGAACAACCGCGAATAAAGTAGCGTTAAAAAGCACAGTTCCGTCACTATTTAATGGCATGTTCATGGACACTAAACGCTTACAAGCCACCCGATGAGGGCAAAGCTTACCGAAACCTAACGGGGGTGAAATTTTACGAAGAAGTGTTACGACATCTAAATGTTTAATGCGACCCTTCGCGTCTGGATCGTATTCGCTCCATAACCTTATAAATTCGTCAAGATGGTGGGGACCCAAAATAGACCAATCTCTTGTTAGATAATCGAAATTGTCCATTATAACTGCTACGAATAAATTAATAATCTGCAATCGAAAAAATGATTCGGTCAATATTGAACAAACACTGTAACGACTCATCCATAAATTACGTCAAAAATTATTAAGTTTCGTCGTAATGTTTGTGATTTCACAAAAAAAAATGTTGCTCCTATCAGCAATGTGTTTGACGTCCAGTAGCTACAAAAATCATGACGAAGACTGTAATTTTTTACAGTGATTATTTGTGGTGCTTATTTTGAGAGTTCATGCGTCAAATATTATATTGTGATAACACTTTAAGTCTAGCAATAAAAGGAAGTATCTCGTGTCCCGTTCACGACGGATCCCTTAAAGAAAGTTTTTAAAAATCGTATAATCAGATTTGGAAAAGTATTTGTAGTTTCTAAGCTACGACGGATAATTGAAAAATTGCTTAATATGAAAGATATTTTGATTTTTCATAGCAAGTTCTTACTAAAAGCAAAATGATGCATTGAGAATTTGAATTCAAATTTTTGTTTATTCAGGACTGTCATCAGCATCATAATCTTAAATATAATTTTTCGAATATTTTATATCCGATTTATTTTTGTTGTATTCAGTTTACATTTTATGTTCACAATGTTTTAACTCCCGCTAGCTTTTATATTTTTTATTAAATTATTTTGTTTTCTGATATACTTATTAATTTATGATGATTTATATTTATAAAAATTAAGTAAATTAACATTAAATTTCACAAAATTCTGTAGATAACAATAACATAACTTAAACCACAAAATGAATGATAATTTAGTGTTAATTCATAATAAATAATAACAATGCAATGAAAAAATCTTTAAAAAGTATGTTTCATATATTAAGGAAGATTTCTAGAATCTCCAACTTTTCAGTATTGCATCGTAGCTTGGAAACTGCATGTACTATTCAGAAAATAATTATAGCATTTTTGGAGTCTCAAAAAGTAAGACAGTAATGTGCGAACGACATCTTTGTATCTTTCATAATCGAACATCAAAAAAACATTTTAACTATCGAAAAACTTTTTCAATAAAGCCATTAGTTTCACCCTCTTTAATAACAATATATTACCGCTAAAATTTGGAATATTCAGTGGTTAATTATTCATCCTAAATAATATTGTGTAGTAAATATTATTTATTAATCAAATTGGATATAATAACCCGATTAAATTGTTCATAATTATTTATATTGTTCAAAATATCCGTTATCCAATTAGAACCAGTTTCTCTAATAAATATATCTATAATTCAGAATTTCCAAAATAAGTAAAATTGCTTTTTATAATCAGCAAAATTTATTAATCAGTCAAATTGATACCAAAAATATTCACGTCTTACCAAAAATGAACACAGCACGTAGAAAGAAATGAAATACGGGTAAGCCGTATCCGAACCGCATAAACGCCATTCTTTGGGATCGAGCCTTTTATCACATTTAGCCCTTTCGGTATCAGCGCAATCCATCATAATTTCTTGCCAGGCTTCGCCTAAAATCCCACACGAATTGTTAATAACTTTAACTGTGGCCATTTGTTTACTGGCGTTTATACCTGTGGCAGAACGAAACAACACCAAAACTGCTTGAAAGAACGACGCAAAGTTATTATTTCTCGTTATGGACGAGTCAGAGTTTAGATCGTTACTTTCTATTTTCCCAAACATCTAGAAACAACATGGCTAATGGAAACAAGTCAAAGGGCATTTTAATGGCGAGTTCGTTAATCCAAGTGAAATACACCAAGTGGACCATGAAGATCTTCTTGCCGACTGTGCCTCATTAATTTGACAAGCATAATCAGAATGCACGGATAAACTTATTATTATTGCAAAAAGAAAGGTAAAGGTTAATATGTACGTGTGTATAATTCCTATTTATAAAATTTAATTAATTCCAGCTTTTTCAATAATATTTAACTTACAAACTGATTCCTAAAAATGCAACTGGAGTATTTCATCGAAAAATTTGGGTTGGGTATAGTCGCCCCAAAACTATAAGAGAGAAGTTATTCAATAATTTGCAGTAAGATATTCATGCCAGACTGGATATATTTCATTCCTTTGTCACCAAATCGTCAAGTTCAGACAATTAAGGAATTAACTACTCACTTGCATTCCAATTACCGCGTAGATAAAGAACAACATGACGATCAGGAGAGCTACATACGGCAAGGCTTGGAATGACTTGAAGAAAGTCCACAAAAGCGTTCTTATACCTTCTCCTCTACTTAGGAGTTTTATAAGTCTCATTACTCGGAACAGTCGAAAGAAATTGCCGGAAAACTTGATTTTCTTTTGGCCGTGCGGCTAGAAATAAAACGCAGGATTACAGCAATCACTGTAGCCGACAGCATTGTTCTTGATTTATCACTTACTGTGAAATCTTGGTAAACGATGTCGATAAAACTTCCGAGGACGATTACAAAGTCGAAACCATTCCAGGCGTCTCCAAAATAATTCTGTTGGCAACATAGATTTATTTTCTATTAGAGATAATCGATTATTTGTGTACGTAAATAACGTTAAAATGTAAAAATGTATAACCATCTGCATCGCTTTCCTAATCCATAAAAGCCAATGGTGGAATATTTTTTTAAAATACCATCAGAAAAATAAAATTGATTACAAAATCTTTTATAAATTTTATAAACTATACACGTTTTCCCGTATATGTTTGCTCCCTAATCGACAAAAGCCAAGGAAGAAATGCATTCAAACACCGAATTTTTTTGTTTTTTACAGAACTCAACAATACCAAAATGTGTAATTTGTAAATTGAAATTTGTATTGATCTCTTACATTATCATTCAAAATTTTATAATAAAGATATTAAAGTCCTTTAAAACAAGACTTAGTTTTGCAGTGTGCCAAGTATTTTTTCTGTTTAAACAATAAAAAAATATATTCTCATTTGACTCTGTTAATATATTAATTATTAGATAAAATTTAATAAAATCTGCACAGCGTCTACTTACAAGCAATGGCAAATTACAAATTTTAATGGGTAACCCTGAAAACAATGAATCGAATGATCGAATGTTTAATTTAATTTCTAAAAGCATATTAGTGAAAAGGTTTTTATAATTATATGTATTATTGTATTGTTCCTTATTCCATTATTATTATTATCATTTAAATACCTCTAAAAGACTTTCTAAATAGTAAATAATAAAAGCAGCTTTGGTGGTAGAAGTTTTTTAATTGCTTTATTTGTAAAATCGATTTTGTAGGAAAAACCACGTACATAATTAAAAGTTTTAAACCGACGACGTAAAAATACGACATTTTAAGAAATAACGTTTTCGACGTACCTCAACTTTTATCTGTAAATAAAAGTAACGAAATAGTGAAGTGGATGCACAAAGCAAACTCGTTTCTTCCTATAAGAGGTTGGTTTTTAAAAAGTTTTACTATAAACGGAATTCCTTCAGCGTTGGATTTTCACTAGAGGCACTAAGGGCTCAGATATTTTTTGCGATATCAAAGTGTATTACAAAACTTTTTATAAATAAAAATCGAATCAATAACTGCCAAATTTTTCATACGTTTTTAAGTTGCAAAGTATTCCGTTCCGATATTCCTTATTTATAGAATATGGAGCCTGCGCTAAAGGTAAATCCAGCACTGCTTAGGTGTATCGAACACTTAAATGGGTGATTAACCAACCTTTGCCCTAAAAGCGGCCAGCTTGAAGACAAATTCCATTGCGAAAACGGCCGTGAAGATCATGTTCAAGTAATCGAGAATATTGCCGTAATAATCAGGTTGTCCGTGAAACTTCATAGCCAGAGTGATTGTATTAATGATGATCAACGTGAATATCGCATATTCAAATGGTTTCGAAGTGACAAACCACCACACTTTGTATTGAATGCGGTGTTTCGGAATGTATCGTCTGACTGGTTTCGCTTTCAACGCGAATTCGATGCAGTTGCGTTGATTTTTATCTAATTCGCAATTTTTATATTCTTGTTCACCCTCGTTCTGGAATGTGACGATAACGAAACCAACGAAAATATTAACCATAAAAAACGCGATAATAATAATGTATATAATATAGTATGTAGCTACGATGGGGCGGTAATTGTGTATTGGTCCTTTGTTTTCTTCGTTTGAGTCTATAGAAACGTACAACAACCCCGGCCAACCCTCAAATGTCGATACAGTAAACAACGTTAACATAGCTTTGGCGACATTGTCAAAGTGAAATCTATTTGGTTCCCATTCTCTATTCTTCATCTCTGGTTTATTAATATCGCCTTCAACGTACACCAAGTAAGTTCCACTGAAATAATATTAATCGATATTCTAGTTGCTTTCGATTGAACTAACAAACATACTTGCATTCAGCGGCGGTGAGCTTTGAACCGTCGGTACAGTGCGAAAACTTTCCCTACACACGAGAAATCGTTTTAAAAGTTTGGAAATTAAATAAATATACATGCGGAGTGAAGATAAAAAATCCAGAAGATGACAAAACAATCGAAAATGTGTAAGTATCATGCAAGATTCGACATCAGATCCGTTTAAAACTGTTGACGTACTACGATCACTTGTAGTCATAACTAGTAAATAAATATGAAGAACATAGAAACATTTGATCGCACCCAGTAATCTAATATCAAAGTGATTATTAATAAACTGTTAAAAATCTCTGAATGTGCATTCAACATCGCCAAATCAATTATCGTAGGCCTGCAAAGTGTCTCGTAAGCATTTTGCTCGATCACCAAATAAATGGTGCTCCATTGACGTGCCATCAGCTGAAAGCTTACCAGCTATACTATTCCAAGATCGCATTGCATTGCACATTCAAGTAGATCCGATCAAAGTATAACATCTCATCGCATCTACAGTGCCGACAAAACATACAGACGGCAGGCTAAGAACAAATAACAGAAATTTATAGAATTTTTGCGACAACTCAGCACGATCATCATTTATACAAGGCGGAACCATTTAAATCCGATATAAGAATGCAATCGAAATATTTTCTAAGAAAAAATGTTTCACTTCTGCCAGACCTGTTTGCGTTTACCATTATATTTTTTTAATAATCCTACAAGCTGTCAACTATAATAAGTTTTTAAATATTGATCATTGGGCTCTTTTCTATAATACATATTTACCATTGTGCGTGAGATATCCGTAGCAATGTTCTAAACAAGAAACTCCCATGAAATATGAAATAATTAATAATGAAATTCTTTGTGATTTATACTCCGAAAAGGATTTTCAAAGCTCAAAAATAACTACCTAGCGGCCATTTAATCGGAACAACCTTCGATAGAGTAAATATCTGCTTTGCGAAAAAGAGAGAGCTCGTAATTTACAATCGAAGGACCAATATCCCTTATTTAATTTGCTCCACGATTTAATGAGATTTTGTTTAAATATTTATTCTATAAAAATAATTTACATCGTTTTATTTTTTTGCCGCTGTTGTGGGTAGTAAAATGAATATGTTTAAATATAGTGCGTAAAACGAGAGTTGATAAAGAGACTAGTACATCGTTGTTTGTACAGGGTGTATTACTGGTAGTTCGATTTAAATTTGAAAATAAACCAAGAAGCTTTTATTTAAATTATTTTCAACAATAGATTTGGGCAAGTGGCACGTCTCTGTTTCTTCTATAATTTATTTATTCCCAATATTCTCTTTCCCTACATTTTTCCTTCTTATGCATATTTTAACCATGGGGCTTACCACGATCTAAAGTTATATGGTACTGTCAACGCCCTTACTGAGCAAATATTCCAAGTCGATTTGAATATATTAAATTGACACTGGTATAACAATAAATTGTACTAGTCGTTAATTATTTTTTCGAAGAAAAAAAAAACTTTTACTTTTACACTGAATAACGTGAGCCTAAAATATGTCAACAGCGAAAGAGGTGACATCACCTTAGATGTTTACTTATGATTTGATGCACATATTACAATCGTTGCCCTACACGCCAATTTGAGAACTTATCTTATCTTATTGAAAAAGGGCAATGAAGACTTTTAAATGTTTTAAATTAAAGATAAAATAGCTATAGATAGTGTTGGGACTGTTCAATTGACCACTTCTTAACTGACTAGTCAAAAAATGTTTTAAATAAGATCTCACAATTGTAGAGTGCTCTCTATTATTATTTAATAATAACATGTATTTTATAATAAATTATTATTCAATTGTGATGTCCAATTTTCAAGGAATGTCCGAATACGATACTTGTCGATTCGGGGAATCCCAATAATAATATCTACTCCATGCAATATAAGGAAATAAATACAAATTTCATGGTATTTTTAAAATTATTTCGCTCAATTGACACGAAATAATTGGACCGGTCAATTCCTCAACCCTACAATATAATGAAACTTTTATTTCAATGATAAAATACTTTTTGTGACCTCCTTATAATTCAACCGATCAAGAGTAAGGCGAAGGTTCGGTATACAGGTATATCAAAATTGAGTACCAATTTGAGTACGGTTCTCACATTACAAAAATTATTAGTACCAATTTAGAAAGTTATATCATTTAGTATTCTCACTCATTAATACGTAAGATTGTAAACGTAAATGATTACAATGAACAAACGAATGCGACGAGTGGAACCATTATCATCCCCATCCCTTTTACCAGCACAAAAGTAAGTGCAACTAGCAATGGATTCATAATTGCTACGTGGGCAGATTTAAGCTTTGGTTATTTTTGTCTGCAGGGTTTTCGGCACTTAAAATGCCTAATATTACTTCCGAACACCCTGTATAACTCGGATATGATTCTACCTTGACGTATTATATACGGGTTGTCGCAAAAATCCGGATGCTGATTGTGAGCGTGGTCTGTGAGCTGAGGGCGGCGTAACCTACACATGCCGCTATTCAGCTACAACAGAACATGCACATCTACCGACAAGTGCAGCTAGAAGCCTGTAGATTTACCTTGAAGAGCTGCACTCCGATCACAGCGAACATGAACTGCAGGAGGTAGGTAACCAGCATGATATTGCCGATCGTCTTAATGGCTACTATCACGCATTTCACTACATACTAGCCATAGGAAGATTCGGCATGAAGGAATGAAACAAACGAAATAGTCAGTAAAGTAAAGAAAATCCAAGCTAAGGCTAAAGACACGGTATATATGGTGGGGCAACGCGCAGCCGTCTGAAACGTCAAATGCACCCTGGGTCGGAAACCGCGGTACAGCGGCGGCGGTGCCCTACCCTAGATATGACTACAAGTGCGGTTCTTGAGGATCGGACTTTTGGCGCTGGAATAGGCGACATACACCTGCCGTCGCTGGGCCACAGCGCAGCGCAGCGCATGCGCACAGATGTCAGCGGATCATGCGGGTTAGTAGGCCTAAGCCAGAGGCCGACGAGCCCCACGGGGGTTACGATTGTCGATTGCTGCAGTTGGGTACCCATAGGTGCATTTGCTTGGACAACAACGGACTGCTGGTGCCTACCTTAAACAACTGGACTCCGATTACCGCGAACATGAACTGTAGCAGACAAGTAACCAGCACTATGTTGCCGATGGTCTTTACCGCTACAATCACGCACTGGACTACATGCTAGGACAGATATCAGTAAGTCACTTATTCGAAGCTGGCGAGTGCCAGTTGCGGGACCTCCCCATTACCTAATTGTACAGCGACGTACGAACCAAGTACACCACCCAGGTGGTGATACGTACCTTTAATCCTTTGGCCCGGTTTATCGCTCTCAGCGGTCTCAACACACGCAAAACTCGCAAAATCTTCACCACCGACATCGCACTCTGGCTAAAAATCGGAAAATTGTTAAACGTTGTTGATCCGTCCTCTCAACCAGCCCTTCCAATTTAACCGCCGATTCACCCAAAACAAGTCTCATAACGCCCGACGCCGACGTCGAGGGTTCAGTCGACCATATAATGAATTGTTTTCGATAGCGAGTGGCACAAGTCCAAAAATCATCAATACTTGTTTTTAGCCTCGCGGTCTACGAGATTTAAAATCGCCATGTTATAAAATACGTTCGATTGTAATTTGTTTAACGAACTTATTCCAATCCGAATCAACGGGGTGTAGCGGTTTATCAACGAACACGAAAAATTGCTTTGTTTAAAAAAATAAAAAATCGCCAGAGATTATTTTTCGTCTGACGAATCTCTAGTCATCCAAACGGATTGTTGAGTATTTAAAAAAAACGACTATTTTACAATATGTTAGATATTTTTTTTGGACGTAGAATCTTCAGCCAAGCGAACCTAAACTTTTGTTGCTTTATATGAAACCTTGCCTTTTATTAAGATTTTATTTGTTTGTCAATTACTTGCCATTTTGTAAAAGCAACATTTTCGGTTTGCTCACGCCGTCTCGATAAATCTATAAAACTTTGGTTCTCCCCATTTTTCACTATTCGGATATCGTATACACTCGTAGAGCATTGAACTCATCTATATAAATATGATCGAACGTATATGAAGTTCATAACGACTAGTTCGTGTGCATATGGCAAACTTGGCTTTAACATGAAACATAATATTGAGCGGGTTTAATTTAAACAATTTTCGATGGAATTTTCATATCGCTGTGGACTTACTCTGTATATTGGAATCGATTCTTTACTTTTTTCCAAAATTTTTCGAATTTTTATTATTAAATCGCTTGTTGTTCTTATTACTGTTACAGACGAACTAGAGTCCGGTGAAGTTTCTAATCGATAACGTTCCAATTTCATTACAATAAGAACCTTTTAGAATGATTTGTTAATGCCTACATGGGCTACACTCGATCCCCGATAGATATGTCAGTTCGAACTGACAGTTCCTCGCACAAACGTCAATACAGGGTGTCTCATAATTAATGATACACAGTAAACCTGCAGATTCTTTGGGCAAAAGTATTACGAGTTGGCTACGTTTAGTTTAGTCAATATGTTTTAAAGAATTATGGGGAAACTGCTGTTAAAAACTTATTTCTGTACTTATGAAAAAATCAGTTAGATTTTTAAAACTTTAATTTTCTACCAATATATTATGCATGTAAACCATTGCTTTAATGTATCATTTCAATTAATATTTTGCAAAGTCCACTTTTAAATACAAAAATCGTAAAAACGCTGTTCTAAGTAAAAGCAATATTTTTAATAAAAATGTAAACAATTACATTAATTTAGAAAGAAGTTATGATTGTTTATAGAAAAAAATTAAAATAATGTTACGCAAAAATATTGTTACTAAATAAGCTAAGAAGAAAAATCGAGAGTTAACTTTTTTTTGGATCCTTTATCCCGCTTGTTATCAATAAAACAAAATTTAGCCAAACCTTATTGTTATTACCCAAGGAAACTGTAGTTTATTTAATAGAAGTGGGAGTAAAATGATAAAATACATTTGATAAAGACACGGTGTTGTCGAAACAATTGTCATGTAAAAATATTTAATGGCTTGAAAACTGAACTTTTAGTTCTTATTTGTTTTGATAAATGGATTTTCATCAAGTAAAAGCCACCTCAGTTCAAAGTAAAAAATGAAAAATAACGAATACCTACCTAAATTATACATGTAATTAAATATGGGAAAATCAATACAAATTGAAAAAGTCAAAAGGATAATGAAAAATCGAACGGTAACAAATTGAATGAGAAACTATAATGAAAATGAAAATAAAATTATGTTGTAATAACAAGCTTGTTTTGGAATGTAATTGTATTAAATTTATTAGCCATTGGTTTGTCATGATCAGGTACAGTTTAGTGTAGTTCTGGATACGTTTTCTTGGTTGTGTTTTTATCATTGCTGGGGATAGTTTGACACATTCGAGAATTTATTTTTTTTGTCGTACTTTTTAAGCTAGCCATATTTTTGCATTAGCAGTGAATGAATTCTCTATCTCTCTTGACTTAGCAGCCATTTGTTTAGTCGAGATTTTAACAAAGTTAACGAATTTATATTTTTGATTTCAATCGGTAGCTCACTGTGGATATTTTGGCTTAAGTACAAAAAGAATCTTTGTCCTAGTGAGGTGTTGGTTTGAGGAAGGTAACCTGTTACTACTTTGTGTCTGGTGTTATGATTATACTTTACGGTTTTAACGTGTCTTTTTTTATATTGTCGCATTGCTATACTTTGCGCAAAAAGTTGATGAATATCTAAAACTATAAATATATTTGTTTAAATAAACGTATATTTTGACATTTTATCCTAATTTATTCTTATGTAATATTATTATATTTAATTTTATTTCGCTTAACGTATTGTTATTGTCAGGGCTGAATATTGTTATTATTATTATCAAAAAAATGCAAATTACTGAATACGAAAATAAGTAAACCTTGTGTAAATGTTAGTAGGCCATTAAAATGTTTTGATCACAAAGGATGAATGACAATAAAGTAATCTGAACTTTTTTAATATATTGTATAATTTTAGGGAAGAACATTTCAGTGTAAATGTTATTTTTATAATATTACAAAATTGTTGAAAGCGTATAAAAAGTTCAATTTAATTTCAAAAATCTATATATCGTTTGATTTGGCTTGTACCTCAAAACTTATACTTTAAAAAAAGAACTAAGTACGCAGCTGAATTTTCGATTCAATGGCCAAAGAGGAAGTCGTCAATTATGCCAAAAATCTCTGGTAGCTGCTGCAAATTAGTTTGTCCAATTTTGTTTAACATTACTAATTTTTGTATTTCATTCCAATTTTTGGCAAAAAAATTTATAACAATAATAATAACATGTTAACTGGAATAAAGTTATGATAGAAGACAAGATATTTTTGGAATAGTTAAAATATACCTTTATTTAACAAAATATATTGAAACAATTATATTTTTGAAAACTTTAAACGTTAGCTAGTATTTTAAATATTACATCTGGGTATGCCGCTGTATTCTGCGTTTTCATCCCTTTACGATACAGGATGTTTAAAATAAAAGTCAACTAAAATGGTCAAATTTTTGGTTTTCCCGCCAGCTACTATCGTTTTGACAACGGCATCTTTTTTTTTTTCGCGAAAACGCAGTATTGCGAAAACCGCATCTCTCTAATAACAAAGATACCCCGCAAACAATAACGAAAAATGGGCACACTGTGTCGTGCGTTCAATTTATCTTGATAACATTTAATTTAGTTAGTAACCAAGTTTTTGAAGTATAAAGCAAAACACTATATATTGTCCGACATATAAGCCTACGTCATATTTTTTAAATGGAACACCCTGTATATTATATATGTGTTTAATGGAATATCTTATTCCGATTCCAATGATAACACACTTTATATTTCAGTCCACTCGCTTTTGACAAATCGGCAGAAATAGGAAATTTTATTTAAAAAAAGTGCCGGGACTGACTGCAGCAACAATAATTATTTACTAATTAAAGCAGAACAAAAACACTAAAAATGACAAGGCACACTAAAGCAAAACATACTTTAACTATTCTAAATACTGCTGTATGTGACCACCATTTTCCTGAACACATTTCTCATACACTCTAATTGTATGATGGTGTCTTACACTTAGTAACGTTTCCGGGTTGTCTTTTAACTGACTGATTGCCTCTGAAATCCTTTGTCGAAGTTCCAGCACATTATTACAAGGAGTTCTGTGCACGTGACTTTTTACGTGTCCCCAAAAGAAAAAATCCATTAAAGTTAAGTCGGGGCTACCATGGCCAATCCATTCACCGTTCCCTATCCAGCCCCTGGATATTCCGTGTTAAGAAAATTTTTAACTTGCACAACATTGTGAGGGCATCATCTTGCTGCCATATAATCAGCGCTGATATATTTCGAGGTAAATCTTCTACATATTGTTCAATTTTTTGCTCTGAGAGTTGCAAATAATGATCTATATCGGACCCAAAATATACCCATCTATGACACCACACCGTACATTAATCGATTGGTAATCTTGGGTTTTTATTTCGTGTATTTGTCTAGGATCATTTAAAGACCAATATAGCGTATTTTGTTTATTTCAACCCTTTCTTGAAGTGAACGAAATTTCATCAGTCCATAAAATGTTTTTCAAAAAATTATTAATCTCATGTCTATTTAACAAATCCAAACAAAACTGCATCCTTCTTTGACATTGTTCTGCACTTAGTTTTTGAGTTTTTTTGAGTAAGTTGATCCCCGAGAAATACTGGCCTCTTCATATAGTAACAGAGGAAGCTGGATGTGCTTCATAGTATCCTAATATGTTTGCCTTATTTTCTTCATTTAAAACGTTATGATGGCTAGCAGATCCCTACTCTCTCGATTGAGACCTTGATGACCCTCGTATGATCATTTCTTCGCCTGCTGGTTAGTGTTTTGTAATAAAGTGCGAGAAATGCATGTAATTTTGTGCGAAACTCAGTGAAACCGCGACAGAAACTTATGAAAAAGTGCTTAAAGCGTATGATAGGGATGCCCTGAGTGGTACTCAGGTGATTCGGTGGCATCCTGATTTTAAAAATGGCCGTGAAGACCGGCGACTAACCATTCGAATGTTGGCTGACGAGTTCAAGATTAACCGATTTTTGAATTTTGTCGCATTACTTAATTGTTAGACCTCGTACTTGAAGCATATCACTCCTTTCACGGATGCTAAATTCGCGAAAAACCATTTTAACAACTTGGACAATGATTATTCAGCCATCAACGTTTTTTATTAATACGTCAAACATTTTTTCAGTTGTCAAAAACAAGTGGACTAAAATATAAAGTGTGTTACATCATTGTAATCAGATTAAGATATTCTATTAAACACATATATATAAAAAACACATTAAAAAATATGATATAGGCGTATATGTCAGAGATGTTTTGTTTTATACGTCACTTGCAAAAAATTTGGCTACTAACCCTACATTTTGTTTACCTTCATGTTTCTAAAAACAAAAAAGTTACGGCCAATTAAAATGTTATCAAGATAAATGGAACGCACGGTACATCCGGCCGCAGGCCTTTAAGCCGACTGATCAGTTCGAACTATCAGGCCTGCCGCATCGTACTTAGCCGGCTTTAGCCGTCACCGGAAAGTCGGGAGCCAGCCACGTGCTCTGGAATAAAGTTTTAACCATTTGAATTTCATCGATCGCGCGATTTAGTTAACGGGCTCATTCGAAACATCTAAAGCGGAAGGGCCGGTTGCCGGAATGAGAAAAAGTACGGAATTGAACATCGCGATTAATTTACCTGTTGACAATGGACATGACTGATACGCAGACGACGACCAGGTCCAAAACGTTAAACGCGGACCTGAAGAAGGCACCTTTGTGTAAGATGCAACCGTAAGAAATAGTTTTTAGTAGCAGTTCGACGGAAAAGATGAACGTGAAAATATAATCGAACTTCAACAATATCTAAAATAAAACGTATGGTTTTGAAAAATGCAATCCGCGTCAATATGTTTTTGTACTTGCTTCGGTTTTAGTACTGTTTTTTTCCGGAATCGGGTCTTCGAGTGCTAAAAACGCCGACGACGCCAGAATGCAAACCAAAATTATATTTCCGAAGTACGAATGATTGCACAACCAGTGGCACATTACCCTGAACCTTGAAAGGAAAACCGTCGTTACGTTTTTGACTGAGCGAACGGGCTTGGTGATACCACAATTCCGTATAATATACTTTATGACAGCTACACATTCTTTTCCAAAATCCAAACGAAAAACCAAAAATAAGATGTCTCACTGGCGATTCAATCGAAACACACTATAGGGCTAAAATTCAAAGTAAAAAAAACAACTACTCGAGCTGGGTGGGAGAAGGGGGGCACCATAAAATAACAAAAGAAACCAGTGCAGAACCACATTACAGTGTCGGTACGGGTTGCAAGCAAACACTGTCTACCACATTTCACCTGTTCGTAGGAGAAAATACGAAGAAGGAAGTTGCTGGTGGTATTGGAAGTTTCTGCGAGGTTTGTTTTATTTCGGACATGCGCCGTGGTCGCGCCCCAACCCCGTTATCGACAACTCCATCTGTAATATTACACAACCGCACTCGTTACAATGTGTATGGGTTTAACATAGCTGCAGAAGTACTCGGTTACGATTCCAGCCCGTGATTCGTTCGGAAATAAATTTAGAAAAACTAAAGCTGCTACCGCTGCTGACGAAGTTCTCCGCTTCTCCGCTACTGCCCCGCCGCTTCCACCTAGAATCGCACAAACATCTAATGCGCCTATAAAAGGTTCTAAACGAATCATTTCTGGGGCATTTGGAATCACTGATTAACGCGATTCGATCAAAATAAGTTCACGAAAAATTCCGATTCTGCAGCTATGCCCCGTTCGCAGAGGCGTACCTGTTTTTATAAGAAAAAATAAAGAAAGCACTGCCTTTCGGTATCGGTCGGACTTTCTTTACGATCGTGACTTCTGAGAGTCGACGAGGTCTAGCTGACTCTTTCGGAACGACCACCATGTCGTCGTCTATGTCATACTCCTCTGAAAATGATCTTCGTCGTTTTGTGATTCTCAACAAATATATTTCGCCTTGCGCCTATATATTCATAAAGAGCAAATAAAACGGTATCGTTTGAGTCTTACCCTCGTTTTGCTCTTGTTCGGCTTCGATTGCGATTTTTGTGTGGGATTCGGCTTCCTCGTCGTGTCCAGATCTAGAATTCAATCAAGCGTAATGGTAAAAATTACATCAAAGCCCTTTATCGACCTTTCCGAATATTGACCGTCATCGATTTCTTCCTCTTCGATGCTGTGTTCTTCTTCCTCCTCGACCTCTTCTTCTTCTTCTTCTTCCTGATTCGGAGACGGACTCTTCGACGTGTTTTCCTCTTGTTGTTGCTGCTGCTGCTGTTGCTGCTCCTCTTCTTCCTTCTCTATCGCTGTTAACGATTCCGCGTCGGCTAAGTTATCAACGGCGATGGCCAAGAACACATTCAGCAGAATATCTAACGGCAGAGTTAAAGGCAACCTAGACCGATATAGAATAATTTAATTTAATTCAATCGAAAAGGATACAGTTGCCACATATAAAGAGAATTATGTAATATATACAGGCTAAAGCACCAAAACCCTTGACTCCGCCATAAGCCTCTATTCCATTATACATAACAACGTTCCAATCTTCGCCGGTTAATATCTGAAAGAACAATTTGATTTAATCGGGGACTGTCATTTTAACCTATTTTGATCTATTTGGCCAAAATATACATATATTATAATTACCTGAAAAACAGTTAGTAAACTCTGCCAAAAGCTATCGAAATTGTATCTGCTCTTTTCCTCGAACTTCTTATTAAATCGTCCGCCAAAAACCTGCATTCCCAATAAGGCAAAGATAACAATGAACAAAAATAGTAGAAGTAACAAAGATGCTATCGATTGGATAGAGTTTAACAACGACGCTACCAAATTGGATAGCGACCTCCAATATCTGGAAAAAAATAGAATCCGGCGAAATTCGATTCGAGATCACGATGAGTGCGACTCACTTTGTAACTTTAAATACTCTCAATAATCTAACGCAACGTAACACGGATATACCTAAAGGAGTCATAACGTTGGTATGAGTTAAAACCATTTCAGTTATGCTGCCGATAACAACGAAACAATCGAAACGATTAAATAAAGATACGAAATAACCCTAAAACGGAATAACTTCAGTAAACGCTAAGGACCGGAAAATTAGGACTTACTTGGAAACCTAAGCTGTACATTTTTAACAACATCTCTAGGGTGAATAGGGCGATAAAAAACATGTTCGTATATTCTGAAAGCAAACGCATCGTCAATTTTCCATTTTTTCAATGGGAACTGAATCTCGTACCTTGAAAATCATCTAACCAGTGCGGTTGGTCGTAATGTTCCGTCGCTAATACGCCGGTGTTCAAAAATACTAAAACAATAATAAGCCAATAGAAGGTTTGCGATTTCACCGCTTTTCTGCAAGCCCTCCTCATCCTCCTATTAACTCGGTCAAAATCTTTCTTCTTTTTACTAAACCACGAATCTTGCTGAAACTCTTCCTCCCCTAACTGATCCGTGGAGGCCATTTCGTTGGTCATCGTGTTCCGTACTTCTTGGTTTTGTTGGTCTTCCCCTTCTGGTTCGATATCCTCCGCTTGCGTTATCCAATCTAAATAGCCCCTCAGATCTTCTTCGAGCTGCTGCTTTTCCCGGAGCTTATGAAAATCGCCTCTGGCTTTCGCCTTTTCTCTTTCTTTGGAAAACTCTCCGCTTAAAACACCAAGAATCAAGTTCATTACGAAAAATGCCCCTAATATAACCATCGACACGAAATATGACCATTGCCATTCTCTACCTAGTGCGTCTTGTATCTAAAAAGTAACGTCAGTTGTAATGAAATTATTTACCCCCGTAATTGGTGTAAATACATTATAAAGCACGTCGGTCCAGCCTTCTAAAGTAATACACTGAAACACGGTCAACATCGCTAAACCAAAATTATCAAAATTTGTAATGCCGGCGCTGGGACCTTCGTATTCAAACCCGCAATCATATTTCGGCCCTATCTGGCGGCAATTAAATCCGTCGCCACAAGGGTGTGGATCTTCCATTGCTTCCATCACACCTTAAAACACATTTTTAAATGCAGACCACCAACTTTAGGATGTACGTTTTTCTAGGAAAAACCGGAACAAAATTTAGGGGAAGTGACTAAAGCAATGTGTGAAAATAGATCGTAATTCCTTTTTAAATGTCAATCGTATGAATTAAATTGATGAATCGCAGATCAAAATAATTTAGTGTCAGCACGGTGAAAATCCAATAAAAATTATCTCACTTTAAAATTTCCCATTTTTCCAAAAGTATTGGTTGGTTTCCTGGTTTAAGTGTTTATGTTACGTAAGATTAATTTGTAATAAAACTTTAACAAGGAAATTAAAAAAAAACTTACCGTCACTATTATTGGTATAACAAGTCTTGTGCATTTGTCCTGAGAATAACTCTAATCCGATAATCGCATAAATAATAATAACAAACAATACTAAAAGGGCAATATGTAATAAAGGCACCATGGCGCGAAGAATAGAATTTAATACAACTTGCAAGCCTGAAAACAAACGAAAACACATTAATTCCGACGACACCTGAAATTAAATGGGCAATAATACCAAAAGGCTCATCCAAATTTGAGATTTTAGTTTTCATTAATTTTGGATACAAATCGAACCAGTTACCTCTTAATTCTTAAAATGTAAAACGCTGTTGTTAAGTGCGTAAACTAACCATATTGCTTGTAGATCAGATAATTCAAACACTAGATTCAACTAGCTACACCAATCGTTGTGGGGTATAATCAGAGAGAGAAACCTACATAAAGTTCTATCACAAAAGATCATTTGGGAAGCAGCGATAGCGATAGACAGGTAGAAATGAAAACGATAAAATTTAAGCAGTGATCAACTTTAAAAGTGACGTTAGTTCCGGTCAAATCGAAGGCGACAGATGAATAATATTTTCAAATGAAAGTTAATTCTTATCAGGCACTACTTCGTTCCAAATTTTGAGAAGATTAGTATTCAGCAGTGAACTTTGTGGTAACAATATATCCCATATCAAAGTGAAAAATAGTTATCCGAACCTACATTTACTTCGAAGGAGTTAAGATCTTCATCGAGACTTTATGATGAACATGAACGTGAAATCCTCAAATAAGCTTGGTGGCAGTTAAACGCCTACTAGTCTACGTTGCTTAAGTTCACTCGATCAATTACTAAATTGATCAATATACTAAGAACAGGAAGGAACTGGTACTATAAATAATGCCTTAGAGATTGTATACTACATCGTATTGAAGGAAAACCCTGAGTTGGTTTGAAACTCTACTAGAGCGTTATAAATTGGCGGTCAATGGTATTTGTATCTAGCTCACGTTTTGATGGATGTTTAGTGAACAGTTTGGGAAACAGTGATGATAAACTCAAAAAAGATCGGTCTTAATGTCGACAGAATTGGAATCGCAGTAGTTTAAGGCCAAAAAATATTTATAATCGGCTAAAATGTGTTGATTAAACTGGGACACATGAAAAGTCAAAGAAGAAAGGAACATGTCATTGTTTTGCCCTTCAAGTTTCTTTATTTCAATTCATTTTTTTACAAAACTTCTGGATTTCTCCTGCGTCGGTTTTTGCTGAGTCCAACTTGCGTTTCGTCAATCAAACTATTAGCTTCTTCAGAGATATCAAATTCTCACCTTAATCGAAAAATGCTTGTCTGGAACATATTCTTTTTATAATGGTCAAGCTGTTGAACAAATTTTGGAAACAGCTATGGGTTCTCCACCATCACCAGTCATTGCAAATATATTTATGGATGCCAAAATTATGGAAACGCTTCAACGATTTAGACTCTGTACACCGTAACATAGGTTTTACCATTGAAATAGAAACTAATAACAACCTCCCATTCTTAGATATTCTTATCAATAGAAAATCCGACCTAACATTGGGTCATTTTGTTTACAGAAAACCTACGCACACAGACCGATACCTTCCGGTCCAGAAATCATCGCTTATCAACTCTCAGACCGAATCACTGAACCCAGAATTAAAACACCTTACTTCTACTCTTCTCTCTAATAATTTCCACATTAGAGATATTAAGCGTTCCATCAAAAAATACACTTCACCACAACCTTCCAATAAGGCCGAAAGCACTGGTCACTGTGGTCCTTCCTTGCATTCAAAACATCACTGACCACATATCAAAAGTTCTAAAGAAGTATAACGTCAACACCAGATTTACCACTTGTCCAAAAATTTCTCAATATCTTCGGTCCTTCAAAGACAAAATTCCATTTGAGATGCCAGGAGTTTACGGCATTGGATGCATATGCGGTAAGGAATACATTGGAGAGACCGGACGAAAAATATCAAGTAGGCTCAAAGAACACGACAGAGCCTTACGACTAAGACAAATAAACTCATCAGCTGTTGCCGAACACACTCATGAAACCGGGCATACAATTTTATTTGATAAAACTAAAATTCTTGCATGTAATCAATTCTTCTAAAAACGAAAAATCCGAGAGTCTATAGAAAGCTATAAACAACCTAACAATCTTAACCGTGACTCAGGTCTTTATCTGTCACCAATATGGGAATCAGTCATCCAAGACGGTGTTTATGCCCCTAATTTAACTCCTCCTCAAACAATATATAATCAGGTACAGAGTAAAATGCGAGCCAGTTTCAATCAAGCCCTGAAGAAGCCAACAGGATGATTGGCGAAACGTCAGCAAGGTCGACTCAGCATAAACCCACCCAGGAGGAATCCAGAAGTTTCGTAAAAAGTATTACAGTAGCCTGTGGAAGTTTCTTTGAAAAAAAATGTAATTATTTGATCGATTGAAGAAATAATTTGAAGATGGCCGAAAGATAGCGTCAACATATACATTTACATAAACGAGCAAATTACAAACCGTAATCACCAAAACAAACTACATTAGTAACGTTAATACAAATACAATTTAAATTACAGCCCTATCCGTCTGGCACGTGGTTAAGTAAATTACCATCGCTCGGACATCTGAACCTTTATAAATTGGCTTGGTAAAACTTACTCGGAACTCCAGAAACCAGTCTCAAAGGACGCAAGACTCTGAACGCCCGCAGAGCTTTTACGTCAAAACTATCCCTTGTTAGAAACGATAGAGCCGTACTTATCATGCTGCAACAAATAGTATTGTTTTACAATTCGCTCAAAAAAACAAATATTTTCTTTGGAATGCGTCGGCAATGGCTATAACTTTAAGCGCAAATCGGGACGTTTAATGTCCGGCGAAACCGTTCAATAAAACGGCAATAAAAAATGTGTAATAAAAACATTTCGTATTGTGTAACGCAAGTTTTGCGCGACTCTGCTTTTGCCAGGCAAATTCGTTTCGGGAGAAAAAAATCTGTCATTACCAGAATTCCAGGACAAATTCATTTCGGTATCGTTTACGTGGACGACATTGATATTAATTTCGAAAACATGTTTCCCTTTAACGTTTATCATCGAAACCTTTTTGCCATTTGGTAGTTTAATATGTTCTCCCTCCGAATGATATCTACATTTTGTGCAATATGCTACTAGAAACTAATATAATACTATAATAATACCTAACTGCCAGAAATGCGATACCGATTTGAAAATACACCATGTCGTAAAAACTGAATAATAGATAATTAACGAGAAAAAAACATTAAAGGAAAACTTAAAAGGAAACCATGTTGGTTAATATGTTTTAGTTTTGTTTTTTTTTTACAATAATTACTTAATAATAACAAAGCTTCTCTGGACGTAGTATCATACAACTACTTTAGTTTAGCATTGCTTGGTTAGCGCAACTAAATAAAGAGCAAATTGTCTGATTTTCCAGCACAATTTATCAATAACTTTATTTCGAAAAAAAAAACACATTTTTAAAAAATTGAATACATAAATTACCCTAAACTTTGGAAAATTGTTGAAAATTCACTGACATTTTCAGAGTTGTCCAATTTCCAGTAATTCCGTATTTTTCAAAATTTCCGCTAAAAGTATTTTAAATTCATCCAATATGAAAATAGAATGAATCAAAAACCCAGTAATTGTCCTCTTGAGGCATTTTTCTTTTAAACATATTTTAATTAAGTAGTATCCCTTTCGGTACCTTTATAAATGAACTCCTTTTCTATATACACTGCAATATGATAACGAACCAATGTACTAAATGTTATCAATCTAATAAATTATCAGAGCAGAGGTTTAAGACACTTGCAAGTAATTCCTTGTTTTAAGCTGCTTTCGCGTTCAGTGCCACTTAAAATAGTTTGTAACTGGATTGTTTGCTAAATATCTGTTTGGAACTCTCGAGAGCTTTACCAAATTGTAAATGCGGATTTAATTAAAGTAAAATTAAGTCCTCTTTATGAAATAAGCGGCAAGAATTGTTTCCGTTGTATTGTTTGCCTCATTTCAACTGTAAATGTAAATTAATAATGGGACAACAGAGTAGGGCACACATTTGTCCGTATGGGTGACACAGTGCCACGGACATTTCAACGATACCAAACTGCTTCCAAAACAAAGAAAAAACTATTTGCAGCGAAATTTATTGCACTGATTTAATTAATAAATGCGAATATGAATAAGTACGAACGGGTGCTACTGTGAATAAAAAATAACTGCCGAAATAAAATTACATGGAATTTTACTTTACTCGGTGAAATTAGAATGTTAATTTTTAAATGCTTTCCATTTACATTTTTAATTGCTTTTATGTTTTTACGGAAAAACCTAGACGGTTTCCGAACAATTTTGAGGGCAACGTTTAAAGAAATTTTAGTTGTACTAACTGGCAATCGAAGATGCTGGACTGCCGGACAGAATATTTTAGATAGAGCATTTTAAATTTGGCATAAATTATCAATTCGTAAGAATTGCCAAATTTCCCAAATTGAAAATATGCCATGTAAAAAATCCCTGTTCAATTGCATTTTTCTTTACTTTTGTTTAAACATGGCGTAGGTGAACTGAAAAAAAATGGAGGGTGAACCAGAATTTGAATCACTCGAAATAACCAAAAAAGAGTTTAGGACCCATGAAACAAAGATGAGATATTACTGCCCATCCCAACACCATATTGCAGATATATTTTTGCTTTATTCCTCTATATTAGCTAGATCGGGACTATTTTTTGGGTTTATTTTCGTAGTTTTATTTTAGCAGTTATTAGCTTATATACTTAAGCTATCGATCCTCCAGAAGCATTCAGCAACATCCGGACCCATAAAACACAACATCCTATTGCAGATACCTTTTTACTATATTCCTCTGTATTAGCTAAATCGGAAATATTTAATTTCCTTCTGATTATTTTCGTAGTCCTATTTCAGCAATTATTAGGTTATATAGTTACGGTATCGATCCTCCAGGAGCGTCCAGCAATGCCCAGCTTATTCGTACAAAAATATGTAGATTACTTCTTGAAAGTTATATAAAAATTCCAAAATAACAACGTTTTGATTTGGCTTACCGGGAAAAACATTTTATTCAGACGATTGTCTCTATTTGCTTTACATGTGACGCTCTGCTAGATGGTCCTCATAATAATCATCCCGGAATAAATTGGCCTTTATATTCAAAACGTCAAACCAAAACAAACAAGGGAAAATGAATACGGGCTTCGTATTTTGTCTCTTTGGCAGCTGCCTTGGTTACCAGTTTAACAACGCAAAAAGCTATTCCCAATAAATGTATATTTTCCTTTGACTACTCTGCGGGAGATAAGACTTATTCTTTGGAACACGCATTGGTTGGAAATTCCGTTAACGTCAAGTGAAAACTCGCTTCACGCAAAGCGCAAATTACAGGCCTATCTATTCGATCAGTTTCGTCCGTTTCATTTAAAAACAATACAACACCGCTCTTGTCCACCACCATTGTGTAATTTTCATCTGTGGTATGTCACAAGCGACAAAAATCGATACCAAACGACTATTTAAATAGATGAGAGCAAACGACGACGTGTTTTTCTATTTTGTACAACAATACTCACCCTATAACTACGATGGTAAAGTCGAGTAAATTCCATCCATTGCGCAAATACGCCCCTGGATGCATCAAAAATCCGTACGCGATTATTTTCATGACACATTCAGCGGTGAATATCACTAAAAATATATATTCGATCTTCTCCTGGAAAATTGAAAAAAATACCACGTCAGTTTTCGTGTTATTTACAAGTTATAAAAGTGTCGTATCATTTTGCGTCCCATTAATAACGATCGGGTAAACGTAGGTGTGCTGCGACATTTGAAAAATCGCCCAATTCATATTTCGAACCTTCGAAACTGATTACTGCCTGACATTAGAGTTAATGGCATATTGTTTTGGATATCAGCTGCCTAAAACATTCGACACCTTTTGTCGTTAAAAATGACCTTTTCGCGAATTTTCCTCTAAAATTGCAAATTCCTATAATAATCCCATTTATATTTCATGTGCTTATATTTTAAGCGACCTAAAACTTCGCAAGCAAAATATTAGTCAGCGAATTCCAATAAAGACTAGATTTGGAATATTCGAATCCCCATACCGTGCAAACGTTGTGCATTAATCAGCCCCGGTACAATATATTGCTCTATCGCTATTTCGAAATGAGTCAGGCGTAGCATCAATTTAAAGACGGCAAATGAAATATTATGCTCAAAAATACACTTTTCTGCTTCCTTGCTTTTTTTATTATATTCCGGTCTCATTCTAGTCACATAATCTGAAGCTTTTAAATAGCCAATAAAAGTTACACAAAACCAGTTTAAAGTTTAAGAGGTCTTATATTCCAATTAAGATTTAACCTTCTCTATACTTAGAACTTTATGAACTTTCACAGTTGGTTAGGTCTGATTAAATTCGAATGCTACAAAAGTAGTGAAAAAAAAAATGCTGCATAGAGTCTACGGAATTACTTTTGGTCTTCCACACAGAGATAAAAATGTAACAATTAATTAAAAATCAAAGATCAGTTTTCGAGAAACAAATTTATTTTACGACGTGACTTCATTTTTAGAAACAAAAATCAGCTTTTTCGTTGTTTCAGTTATCAGCGTCAATGTCACCTTCGCACATATATTCAGTTTCTAATTAAAGAGAAAATTTAAATCGCTTAAAATATAAACAAGTTTTCCTCGTACAACAGGAAAAAGTTTTATACAAACACGCCAATGGTAAAGAAATAACCTTCATTCGTATAATGTTGTCAAAAACCACGCCATTATTATTATTTATATTTCCCAGTATCGAATTTTCAGAAAGGAAACATTGAATAGTACGTCAACACTTCGTAACAAGCGTATATTTAGACCAAAAGAATTCTAATCAATTAATTCGTAAACGAAAATATAAATTATGGTAAAGTAAACCTGCATCAAGTAGAAATATTGTTGAGCGAACAAACGATTAAAACTATCCCTAGAAATCAATAAGACAACGCAGAAAACACCTAGATTATATTTACTTACCAAATACGCGTTTGTCGTGTTAGAATCGCCATTAGGAAAGGGTGTATAAACAGCCAATGCCACACAGTTTGCAAAAATTGTCATTAGAATTAACCATTCGAATGGTCTGAGTACACAGTTAAGGAAAACGATCACAAATTTTATTGAAATATGCATAAAGGTTATGTAAATACATCATTATTTTGACAATTGTTAAATTAAACTAAAATATATATAAATGCTTAGTTAAAGTTACAGCAAAACTCCACAACCTATTATACAAAATTCGTCATTTTTATCTGCTTAAAAACGGAAGGAGAAAATTAAAATATTACGGAAGTCATTTTAATAGCAACACTGTCTATAAGGGCCCAATCGTTTTCAAAGCGCACTGACCTATTCCTATTCTACTTATGACATTATTATTCGATATTTTAATTTTATAATTCCTCGATTAACTTATTTAAAGGCAAGTACCGATATTCCATTTTCCAACTTCCATTACACAATGGGGGTGGGTGTGGGGTGGCTTTTATATTTTATGGAAAGCGATCCCGATTTCGCATCCAGGAGGTTTATGAGACCCCGAGAGAATGAGATTGCTTAGCAGTGTGCAGAAAAATTACATCGGATAGTTTCAGCCATTTCTCTAGGCTCCCATTTTTTTACAAATTGCAAAATTCGCAGTTTTTTAGACTTAGTAATGTTTTTTTGCCCTTAAAAATTCCCTACAGCGTTTTATTTTTATTTTCAAATCATCACCAATTTTTTTCTCTGATAGGTGGCATAAACTTATTTAAACTATTAAAAATGTCTGCATAAGAAACACTTTTTTATTAACTAATACAGCATTAAAATAGTTCGGTAAACTTTTTAACGCACTCGTTTATTAAAAACTCGCTCCGCTCGTGTCAAATAAACTCGTGAGTCAATGCCGTTTACCGCACTTGTTGCATACTATACTTTTTCTACGACCGTTAGTTTTTGGGTACATTTTCGCAAAACAACACGAATAATCCACTGACATGACCGTCAGAATTGACAAACGTCGAAAATCAAAGCGTGGGAAATATCTCCGAAAACATCCGTGCGGTAAAATCCCGGAAATGTCCGAAGTGGCTCGGATTCATGGGAAACCAAACTGACGTGGTAAAGTGACGCTTCCCGCACGTTAGATCGGTGGGTAATTAGGTATTTTACAGACGGGAGTAGAAAAAACTTTTTATCGATCATGATTAGTTTTACCTACAGAAAAAGTACCATTTCATGTTTTTGAAAATTGCGTGAAAATATTATCATTGGGGTTTCGTGTGCTCGTGTCTTCGTGTGAAATCGATACTCAAAAAATCTCGATCAGAATCGAAATTTATCTAGAAACTAGTTTTGGTAAGAAGGGGAATTTACACTTGTACTTGTTTAATCTGGTAAAGGTGCTCAGAGACGCAGTACGATTGAAAAACCTGAACCAAAGCAAGAAGAGAAAATGTGCTGCTTGACTGTTGCCCCAATTTACTGTAGTAACCATGGTAATATCTGACTCGTTACAGCAAGCATCTGATTTATAGGAAATACAAACACCAAATAACAATTTTAACGATGCAAACGGAAAACGACTTCCACACGATTTTAAATCTTTGAAAATTTTTAAAATCCAAAAAAAAAACTAAATAGGTACTGAATAATATGTTCCATTTTTTTTTCCTAGCGAAGGATTTTGATCGGGTAAGGACCATAGCGATTCGTTTCGTAAATCAGAATCGATAATTTTGTCTCTTGTTACTGTAAAATCATTAAAAATAATTCGTTAGTATCTCCCGCAACTGGGGGCGACAAGTTAAGGCGTGAATTAATTTTGCTAAATTAACCCGAAACAAAAAATGTAACGAACGCCAGATAGACGGGATTATTAACGTATGAATGAACGAATCTGCGGAGGATTTAAATTTGGATAAATATTTCCAATATTTCAAACGAGCTAAAAGCGATAATTTAACTTATGAAGCCCGAAAAGTAATTCAAAATGAAGCATATATAAATTATTAATAAAGTTATTCTGATGGTTGATTAATAATAGATAAGAGTCAAAAATGCCATTAAAATAACTTTAAGCAAATCAAAATGAATAAATATAACCGCAGTATTAGTCTTACCGTCAAATAATAATAATAATCACAGTCTTTATTAAGACTGCATGAGCGGAGTCTGGCTTTAAAAACTAAGATTTAATGCGTTTCTTAAATTTCTACCTATTGGTCCGTTATAAATTTTGGGACATGATCCACATTTTAACTTGCAGACTCCGGATTGTTGAATTTTCCGTGATTTTGTTTTATTGTTTTCTTAAAATTTTCATATGCTTTTTAGAAGATATTTCGAAATTTTCTTACTAGATCCTCCTATGTATTTTATTGTTTTATAAATTTTGGGTTCGGTGTTTAATATGGGATATAATTTTATGTATCCAGGGGTCGTAACCATTGGTTTTAAATATTTAGTGGTATATCAAATAGCGTGTGGATAAAAGGACAAGATTCAAGTTATTATGTATACTGTGTCCATATGTGAGGGTTTATGGTAAATGAAAAAATCTATTTTTTTCTGTGATTTAGTTAATGTAAGTACATAATTCCGTCTCTACGGTAAATTTATACGGTTATATGGAGTTACTATGATTCAAAAAGGACTGCCGTTGTCTTCCCAGTGAAACAAGCAAGAGCATCATCTACGCATCTATACCACCAAGGAAATCTTTTACTGAGAGGGTGCTTATGTATGACATTTTCTACATTGTCCATGAAACTTTCTGCAAGTAGTGGACCAAAGTAGTAATAAAAAATTGACCGTTACATTCAAAACAATTTTTGGTCTAAACAAACTATTAAACTAATTAATTACTAATTAATTAATTAAACCTGTTTATATATATATATATATATATATATATATATATATATATATATATATATATATATATATATATATGATGACACTATATTCCGGGATATCATCCGTTCGCTCGTTGAACTCCGACTGGAATCCTGCTTCCGACTGGAATCCTGCAGACGTTTCGCCAAAATCTCACTTGGCATCTTCAATGCTCGCGCTCCGAAAACACTTCGAACTTCGAAGGGAGTGTTCGAAGTGTTTTCGGAGCGCGAGCATTGAAGATGCCAAGTGAGATTTTGGCGAAACGTCTGCAGGATTCCAGTCGGAAGCAGGATTCCAGTCGGAGTTCAACGAGCGAACGGATGATATCCCGGAATATAGTGTCATCACATTTTTCCATCCGTGAATCAATACGTGAGAATATATATATATATATATATATATATATATATATATATATATATATATATATATATATATATATAGATGTCGGAATAATGTTATATTTTGTATATGATAAAGGCCCTGCGTTGCCGAAACAGCTGTCATAAACCAATAAATAACGGTGAAAATCTGAAATTTTGAAAATTTTTGTTCTAATATTGTGTTAAATGGATCAAGTAAAAGCCGCCTCAGTTTAATAAGATTTTATATTTAATAATTGCTATGATAAAAGCTATTTTTAATAGTTAAAAAAAGAATATTCGACAATGCTATATATCCGAAAAATATTCGAACAGCGGAGTTAGTTTTCCATTGAGATCAGCGTCACTGCTTTTATTAACAGTAAGTTGCGTTTTCATAGTCAAAGCAAGGGAAGGGCGAAAGAGAATTTAAAAGGCAAACCTTAATCTGGCAACCTCTATGCCCAATAAAACGGTACAATGGAGAAAGAAAAAAAACGTATTTTGCCGCAAAATGGCGTTTTCCGGGGCATTAAAACAGCTGTGGACGATTCATCCCAGCCGCAGAAATGCTGCTTTTTATCTACACACTGTCGCCGACATTGCAGTGCTATATAGCGTGCTCTATCTTATGCCATACCGAGCTGCCATCACGTGCAGAAGTTGGGGAATGGCTAAAGCTATTGATTTTTATACTGTCCGTATGATATGGGTTATGGAAATCATTTCAATATAATTCTCGCGCGGTAATAGCAGAGTAAATGTTATTGCTCCATTGTTATTCGAGAAACGGGGCTATCTTCATAACATAAGCTAATAAAGCAACACTTAACAACTACATTCAGGACTAAAACGTCATTATGTTGGACTCTACGACTTGGGTGAGTGGTCATAATTTTTTGCATTGAGTGATCAATGTAGATTATAATTAAACTTTCATTATATGTTGGATTTTATGTTGTGTCACGTTTATAGTTGTAATATTTTTTATTTAACCACTCCGATTGGTCCGAATATTTATCGACGTTGTACGCGCAAGCAAAAGTAGATACAAGATCTATAAAAATATATTCGAAAACACAATGTTATAGAGAGGATTAATTTTTGGTTCGGTGCCAATATGATTGTGCCAGAATGTGTTTCCAATGCTTTTTGTTTAAAATAAAGAACAAAATCTTCGCATCGACGATTTAAAACGTTATTTAAGCAACTTTTATAAATATCAATATTTTCTTATCCGAAAGGGTGATCGTTTTAATTGCCAAAGCATTTTTTAGGGGATCGTTGCCTAAAATATCAAATCGCTAATTATAAACCCTTTGGATGATCCTCTCCTTCGCCCACATAATTCGAGTTTAACTTTCTATTTAACGTCACTCTCCCATTGAAGTAAAGCGAATTGTTACACGTATCAAAAGTCTGAAATTATTTAATACGCAGTGATCAAAAGCTTTGACCGATACACTGAGTGTACCTGCTTTATGCTTCCCGGATAATTATTAGGTGAACACTGCATTACTCAACTTAAATTTGTTAGTGCAGAACGAGCGTGTATAAACGAGTGTGTTTATAGGGGGCACGTTTCAACGACAAAGCTCGTAAGTCGATTTTATCCCTAAAGGCAAATTTCATATTATTATATACTACAATCAACCGAAATAACATTTTACTGGGTATTCGATCACATAAACCTTAACAACGTAAAATTTTAGGTTCTACTTCGTCAAGTTACTAGTTTATTAAACACAATCTCCGCTCGTGTCAAATAAACTCGTGAGTCAAATACCGTTTACCGCACTTGTTGCATAACATACTTTCATGCACAAAATTCATATTATTCGACAAACCTCGGTTTAAACAATTTTATATTTGAAGGGTCTATTTCATGGCTTTAGATATGTGCAAGACTTTTATAAAAACAGATTTTTTGGTAAACTTAAGAATAAAATAGCTTCCTGCATGGTTACAACTTAATTGAACACACTGTCTATAACTCTTTTCCAAAACTTTTCTGTAAGAACATAAAAATTTAATATTCCTTTTAACAGGATAAAGTAAGCAAAATGATAAAGGTATCACTTTACTAAAGGGCTGGCGGAATGCTCAGGCGGGGTTATTAAATTTCTTGACGTGTACATATATCATATCAGATTTAAGTAATTTTGCAGCATACGGCCATTGTGTTGCTTTAAAATGAAGCAATTTGCCTTGTAGGGGCTCGAAATAGAGCTCAGTTTGAGACGTTCTCGAACGTAGCGCTCTATAAAGCAATAAATAAGAATGGACGAAAATAAATGACCAGGAGGGAAGTGAAAAAACCTGCTACCAGTGTAACCGTCACATAGATATACTTGCAAAAAAGGGACGAGATCAAAAATAGAAATTCTTTCAACCTTACACTAATTAATCAATGAAAAGTTTGGAATTAATAAAATTAGCCCACTCATAATAGTAGGAATGGAATTACTATCCGAATAATTTTTTAATATGATTAATTTTTAATTTTATAGATTTTCTGGAATCTCTCCGTGTCATTTATCAACTCGTGACTTATTCGGAACGGTTTTGGTTGGTTGCGTAACGGGCTACCCCTAAAATATTTAAAAAAAGGATACTTCCACTCCACTACATCGATACAGAGTTTCCTAATAGGGTTCTTAAGGTACAGACAGAAGAGGGCGCGCTTGGGTCTATCCGGTGGTGGCTTCTGGACCCGCCGCGGGGGCCTTTTGGGAGCTTGCGTTTGTTGTTGCTGACCTGGGGGGCGGGCCCCCGCCCCCTGCACCTCCGGGGGGTTCGTCACGGACCCCGCCCCCCCGCCCCCCCCAGTACTCATCACGGTCGCTGTCGCGTTAAGCGACGATTGCCATGCGCACCCCCCGGTCGAGTCGCCTCTGCTATATGCGGAGACCGACCACAAACGATTGTTGCACGGTGTTTCACGAAGATCATACTGCAGCCCTGAAAAAAAAATTAATTAATTAACACAAATACGTAGAAAAAACAAAAGTTCACAAAATATATTAAAATTTACATAGATTTTTAAAAAATGGCAATCAATAAATATTTTAAAGACTAGCACGAATTAGCATGGACGTAAACAATTTAAAGTGATTTAATTTTGCGCACTTTGTTTATTTGTAAATTTACATTTAGTTCGGTATTTTATTTGAAGTTTAAGTTTTATTAATTTTAATCGATGTTACCGTTATTGATTGTTTTCGAAATTTGCACAGAATGGTGTAAAAAAATTTGAGGTAAATTTAAAAAACAATATATTTTATTTACTGTAATTTTAAAAATGAGAGAAAATGTAAGAAAACGAAATCTGGACAAGCTAAATGATTTTTTTTTGTAAAATTGGTAAAGGTAGTTTCTCGGAGGGTAGGGGGTTGTTGAATGAATTATTTCTTAGGACTTTCCAACATCAAATTTTGAGTGTGTGTAAATTTGTGAATTAAAATGAATAATTGAATGCAACATTTGTATTTGGTGTCCTACGAAAATATACATTTGAAACAACCACATTCCCAAACGAAGATAAAATAAAACCTGCAAGAAATCGCAGTTCGCCTAAGAAAATAAAAACGAATCTAAACCTTAACGATTCCTATAAACCACACATTGTATTTCGACTCAAGCTGAGCTTTCAATTTTCCTTTTTTCTTCGTAAATACTTTCTCGTTAGAATTATTGCTTACCGACAATTTATTTCGGATTTTTATGATTCTTTGCTCTCCATTTTCAAAGCGTAGCGGAAATTTCGAAGCCGCCGACATAATACGTAGCAATAAAAGAAATAGCTATGGATTTTCGAGTGCCGGATAAAAATGGAACGCTAGATAATTTTCCTGTTTCGTTTTTGTGCTCTATACTTCAGAGCAGACCGTCTTTTGGAATACTGATATCAACCAGAAATCATTTCTACACTTTATGGACGTTCTACGACGTATAAGTTCTTAAATTGCCAAAACGCGTGGCCAAGGCACAAATAAAATCATGTTTGAAGACAGGGAAATATTCAAAAATTATTTTTTGTTATCTTATTTGCCCTAGGAAGTGGTATATACAAGATACAAGATTTTATTAACTTTTTAATTAATTATAGAGATAAAGTAAATAAAAACAAAAAACCAAATAAGAATACAAACGACGCAAAAAAAACACAAAATAATGAGTAAATTTTAATCCATGACGAGCTCTGTGTTATATTTAGACTGATCTATGTACTCGGCAACAGTATCAAAGCAATTAGCAGGTTAGCAGGTTTAATTTTCTTAATGGTTTCTTTCTGGCAACGCGGCGGTTATAACCTGCTCGATGCAAGCAGTTTCAAATCGTTTGAAGGCTAAGATTTTTTGAGAACTCTTCCTGATTTCCTCTCCAAGTTTTGGAGCGCTTTTTTAAGAATTAATTCTAATTTCGAATTCTAACTTGAATGCGATTTTTTAATTATTTTACCAATATATCTAAACTAACCAAAATCTCCTATGATTTGTCGAAGCGCAATTGTAATTTCGCAATTTTTAGCGCTCATTTTGCTTTTACTCCAAAACCACTGACTTAAAAGTGGCGTCAAAAATAAATACGTATAACCACATGTTTAACCGAAATTTGATACAAGCTGACTTGATAAAATACTGATAATTAACGGTTCTACCTGCAGTTCTGAATAGTGATTTATTAAAGTGTATGGAGACTTTTTTAACCGTAAGTAAGTCGTAATGAAGATTACTGTCTATCGATATTTTTAATTTTAGTTGCATTTTCAAGTAGATCCTTGCCAAATAATTAATATTATAATAATAATAATTATTATAAATATGATCTTCTGCATTTCTGGGAAAATGTTCATGATTTTTGAAAATATCGACGCGCCGGACAATGGTATGATTAAAACCATGGTTGACAATGATCCCGGTAGCCGATTCCTGCCTGCTTCTGTCATGTAAAAATTGCAGAAGACAACGTATAATTTACAATGAAAATTGAAAAATGTCTATATTTATGTACATATGATAAACAAGCATAAAGAGTCATTTGTTCATAAAATTTTATTCTAATTAATTAATTTATAGTTTTATATTGTCTGAAAAGTAAAACAACAAATACAAAAAATGTATGTCGAATATCGAAAATGCTTGAATTTACGAGGCATATATAATACCATTGATTTTGTTGAAACTTCGATTTGTTTTTGTCAATAAACGTTCTGCAACTCCCAACCAACTGCCTCGTTTTGGGTGCGGTTCAAGCTTTTTTATCGGAAAATTAAGAAATTCAATATGTTTTCACCATAATTTTCCATAAAGAAATTGGATACAGCTTTTTTCCCCAACGAGAAGTGCGACACTGGATCCGATGATGGAATCAATTCGTCGTATTAGACGACATAGTCAAAGAGTTTGACAAAGTATGCGAAAGTTTACAACGACCAATATTTGTTACTCGCCAGACCAGGAGGGAATTTTGCTCAATATATTGTGGCATTATTAAAAGTTTTTTACTTTATTTCCTGCATCATCCCTGCATATTTGACGTATTCCTGTTGTCAGAGAATGTTAAAACTATCCACTATTACTTTCATCCCTGCATATTTGACGTATTCCTGTTGTCAGAGAATGTTAAAACTATCCACTATTACTTTTCAAAGGGCGGTTTCCAGAGGAATGGAAGTCATCTTTCCGGTGCCGAAGGTTCCAGGTAGTAAGCTGCATTCTAATTTTAAACCTATCAACACTGAGCCAGTGTACGAGAAATTATTGGAACTCATTGCAAAGGACCAGCTGCAGAGACATTGTGACGAAAACAATTTAATTGTCTCTAGTCAATCGGGATTTCGAACGGGACATTCTTGCGAGACTGCGATGGTTTTGTTTTGGCTGTGTTTTTGGAATTTAGAAGAACTTTTGAGACTGTCAATAGGGATATTTTAATAGATAAGCTAGAAAATATAATCTTACTTATCTATCAAAAAGTAAAGTATGAGTCATCTATGTCTGAGTCTATCTTGGTGGATCACGGGGTACGACAGGGGACTGTTTTGGGGCCCTTATTGTTTCTTCCGTAGATTAATGATCTAGCTCAAGTTGTGAAAAACAGCAACATTACAATATTTGCCGACGATACCATGATATGTGTCGTTGGTAAAAATATCGAAGAAATGCAGCGAGATATTAATGATGTCCTCTATCGAGTGTTTGTATTGTGTGTAACAGTCTTAGCATTAGTGTCATGAAGTCGAAGTTCTGTTTGTATGGCAAAAAAGTGTTAATACAAATATAAATAGCGTTAATATAAAATATTTGGGAAATGTATTAGATCCACAATTAAATTTTGATGCACATTGTGATTATAAAATGAGAAAGTTCTTACAAAATGTGGGTTTCATATCTAGAACAGGCAAAAATTTAACAAGTTATACAAAATTGTTACTTTACAATAGCTTGGTGGCGCCACATTAGCAATATTGGTCAACTTTATCGTTTAGTATACCTAACTATAGACTAACGAAACTTCAGAAAATACAAAACAGATCAATACGCGCAATTCTAAAATGTAATAGGTAATAGATATTCTCATGTGATGACTATGTTATAAATATTAACTGTAAAGCAAAAAGTAATGTTTGGTGCCTTTATATTTATGTTTAAGATAGAAAATAAAACGATGTCGCCATACATTGGTAATAGGTTTAATTACTTTAAGAATGTTCATGACTATAACACTAGAAATCGTACTGATTTCATCCTAGTCAATCGATGTAAAAGTACACATATGAATACCATTTGAAATAAATAAAAATATTAAGGAGTATGATAATTTAAATGATTTTAAAAGATGAATTAAAACTTACGCACTGTCTGAAATTTTATTCTGATTTTTCTTTTATAATTGTTCTGTTGTTATATACTTTTGTACTTTCATACTTATTTAAAGTTTGCTACTGGCTAGTATATTTAAAATGTAAATACGATTGTTTTCTGTTATAGCTTTATGCTAAATAAATAAAGTATTTATTATTTATTTATTAATATTTTATGGACCATTTTCTCTCTAAAGGATTTTTTTTTCAATTCTTCATTCTTTTTCTTCTTCCGGTGTCTAAGCCGCACGTAGCTACGTTATAAGTACTATATTTTCCACCTTGACGTTGCCAGTGTCCCCGAAGTACGTAACAATCGGAAAAGTGTTCACAACTCAAAAACTTCAATTCGATTCAACGTCCTAGCTTTGAGTTACCAAGTTTCAATGCCATACAATACTACAGTCTGATTGATGGATTGAGAATTACGGAATTATCAATTAGACTAAAAACCATTAATATTAAACCAATGTGGCAGAAGCGCTTGCTTGCTAATATTGGACTAGATGGAGATACCGAATTGCAATTTCCTTCAGATATTTGACACCAATTAACTATGCGTTAAGACAATTTGGGCTAAGAAGAATGAGCCAATTAATTTTAGTTTTTTTATTTTATTACCATTTTGAATTTATGTTCAATTATATTCAATATTATTCTTATTTTAAAATAAATATCACTACAATACTCGTTGTATTGTATAAGTAAAATAAATCACCACCTTTCGAGGAAAAAAACATAAAGCAGAGACTGCAGTCTAAATTAATCTCAGGATAAAAAATGTGTATGCTTTGTTGGACCACTTAATAAGAACGTTAAAATCCTTCGGGAATTCTTGGTAAGGAAGATAGATAATATAAGAGTTAATCTTACGCAGGGGGAATTCACGGATTTTTACACTTAAAGTTCAAATAGTCGCTCCAATTTTGAAAATTGATTTTGCATTTTATATCAGAGTGGAAAACTTCGTGCCCTAAAAATGCTGAGATCAAATTACATATACGTTTAAGGGTATTATATTATTCTTAATACAGGGTAATTCAATAGAGGGAGCTTTTAGAAATTTAAACAAAAAATTCTCTCAGGATAATCGATA